TCCTCAGTCGACAGAAAATTTGAAAAGTGTCAACTGTCAACTGTCGACCTGTACCTGGTCGACAGTAGAACAAATGCGAAGTGTCAAATGTCAACCGTCAACCTGTCCCCGGTCGACACTAGAATGCAAGGGAATGGATGGTCGACAGTAGAACAAATGCAAAAATTGATGTCCCCGGTTACACTAGAACACAAGGAAAGTGTCAACTGTCAACCGTCGACCTGTCCCCGGTCGACACTAGAATGCAAGGGAAGTGTCAACTGTCAACTGTCGACCTGTCCCCAGTCGACACTAGAATGCAAGGGAAGTGTCAACTGTCAACTGTCGACCTGTCCCCAGTCGACACTAGAATACAAGGGAAGTGTCAACTGTCAACCGTCGACCTGTCCCTGGTCGACAGTAAATCCATGTTTGGAATGAAAAAATATTTACTATATTACTACAATATACAGTGATGTATGAATATGTTTATATTGTTTCAGTCAAAGTACTACTTTATCCTTATATTGGAGTTGAGCCGATAATCGTTGATATACAGTTTGCAATGTGTTCTAATGATTTTTTTTTCTTCTACGAATTTGTTTTAACTGCTCACAAATGTACGTAAGCACTGTATTTTATATATCAATTCTATCAATAAATACAATTACACAATATGGATGGAGGGCGATTCTAAACTATTGATCCGGCTGTGTGATTTTTTTGAACTAGCGTACACTTTTGCTTGTAACTTGTATTCTATGTGGAGAGCTGTGACATATGTTGAGTATTGATTCAGTCCTAGTGTCCCTACTTAACCTGTAGTCAAACTTAATTTGTCCGCAAAAAAAACAGGAAATAAGATACAACTCTTGACGAAGCCTCTACATTTGTGTTTTTTATTCTTAAAGGTTTTTTTTTTATTTTTATAATGCATAGCATGTTTTCTACTTTTTTTTCTAGATGTTTTGCAATGTTTCTTTTTCACTGAATTTTCTATTAACTTTGAAATGATGAGGATAAAATTTTTTTTTTTTAAATATTCCATTAATGTAAGGGAAAAGATGAACTTATCTTTTATCTTTTATTTTTTTACTGTTTTTCTCTGTGCTTTAATTCACTTAAGGTAGTATGCACCATTAATGCAAAGAACACTCCTAAAAGTTAAACTCAGTGATGTACGTAGCAAATGCAAAAACGATACATAAAATTTATGGTGAAGAATTAATGGTAAATTTTTTGAAGAAAAAAACTTTCTACATTAAAAATAAGAATTAAATTTGATAAGCAAATGATGATGACGTGAAGGTAAAATTTATATCCTCGAAAGATTTAAAAAAAAAAAAAAGATTGTATGACATCTTGAAAACAAAAAAATGAGTAAGAAGAAGCGATTTCTATTTCAAATCAGCAGATAAAGGTCAGGTTTTGTGTTATGATTTATCATTGAGAACTTCATTATTTAGAGGCGTGAAATGTTCATATATGTGGTGCTGATCAAACAACTTCAGCCTAGCATGTAAACCATACAATTAATACCATTGACTGTTCTCTATTCATTAGTATCCATGATGACTGATGAAGTGTGGGGTAACATATGTTTTAATTAAGTATCTACTGAGGGTGCCATGAACTGAGTGCACTCAGAAGTTTATATGGGTGAAATTTGGTTCAGAATTTTACTGTAGATCACTATTAAAATTTCGACAATTTATTTTTGTGAGATAGTCGTTGGCTTTTCAATATAAGCGAAAAATTTTTTTTTCCCAAATTGTGGTTATTTCTCTATATATTAAATCTTTAGGAATACTATATATGTGTCAGAGAATGAAATTTTCACAAGCTAGGACACTGTTTGGTGTATAATTACACAAAAATAAAGTTCTCACGAATAAAAAATAGATACAGTATCAGTACATGACATCTTTGATCTCCACAGAGTTGTGAATCAAGTGTACTGAAAAAAGGAGGAAACAGTTACAGGGTACTATATTATAAGAGTAGGAGTTATTTATAATATACAGATGACCACTAAACTAATAAAGGAGACACAATGGACCATTATCTGGATAATTGTTCTGAATAAACTCCTCACATAAACTCCACACAAAAAGTGATAAAACAGAGTGAAGAGAGTTTAAAGATGATATCATTCTGTGTTATTTGATGATTTCTAAGTCCACCTTCAATTATTTGTCTGTTTGTGTGTCAACCACTCATGGTTTTTTCCTCTGATCTCTAGTGCTTTAGGAAATGTTTTTTTTAATGCTGAAGATCCAGAAAAAGAATTAGGGAGAACTTGGCATAGTAGGTTGTTGAAAGATGGAGGGGATGTAGTACCACATTTGTGTGTGTTAGTGTGTTTTAGTTTGTTCTTGTGTGAAACAAAATAAAGGTATAATTTGTTTCCAGATCAGTGTTGAATGCTGTCTTGCAAGGGGATGCTCTGCTTTGTGATGCCCTTGTTATTTTTAATGTCATTAAGGCAAATGTTTTTGTGATAATTAATGCAAACAATTGCGTAAAATGTTGAAGTCATTTTACAAGCAAGAAGGAATAACACATGTTTGCTGACTTTATTTGAAACCAAAGATCTTGTGGGAGGTATAAAACCTCTAAAAGCATGGACTGAGATTTTAAAATGGGTAATGTTTATACAATTTCTAGTACTGGTTTTCATTAAGATAAGTGCATTTTGAGGCAATTATTGTAGTTATAAGATTCAATATTGATTAACTGTCTTGGTAAAGGCAGTTTCTCAATAATGTGTTCTCTGAACTTTTGATGGAACTTGTCAGATTCTTCAAAGATGCTACTGGGTAGAAATTGTAAATGTAATAGGTTTTTTTCATAATAGTTCAGATGAAGGGACAAGGTATTGAAGATTTCACAGAGAGGTTAATATTTCCAAAGAAGGAGTTTAAGTGGCCCATGATGTGCTCTCAGAGCTTTACTGACACTTTATAAGATAACAGATCTGTCTCACCAACAACTGTCCAGTGGGAATTATAAGGAAATGGTTCCCACAACTTCCCTGATTACCTTTCTCCAGATTATCACACATTCTACAGTTGGATCTGGGGTAGGATACAGAAGGCCTTATTGTGTTGTTGAGAGAAAATTGAAAATGACTTGAATTTTACTGGATTTGTCATTGAACATTACCTTAAGTTATCCTTAATTTCAAGAGGGATAGACACAGTGGGATAAAGTAGCAAATCTTTTATCAAAGGCTGTTTCAAATGTCAAAGGAATAACCTTAAAAAAATAAAATGTTGACATTTTGGATTAAAGTACCTGTGTTTTATGCAAGGTTAATGATGAAGATGGCCTATGCAGTAACAGTAATCTTGCTGTAGTCGTTAGAATCATAGAATTACAAAAGTTTGTGTCTTAAGCAATCAGTTTGAAATGATCAATAAAGGTTTTTGAACTTTTACATAGTTAATTACCTGAAAACCCTCACGTGAACTTGTTCAAGACTAAAAGGATTGGTGAATACACGTAATTAAACGTTGTGTACTGGTGCATCGTTTTTATTGAGGGACTAGCAGGCATTAATATGCAAGATTACTTGGAAGTATAGCCAGAGGGGATGTGACTGCATCAGTTCTTCTGAAGCCCAAGAAATATGGAGAATCAAACAAAAGGTAATTAAAATCAGCAACAAAATATCCAGGCTGTTTTTGATACGTTGGTCAGCTTAGCCTTTTTGAGATTCCAGTGGTAGAGAGAGATTAAGTTATTGACCGAAGGTACGTCGTCTCATGTACGTGTTGGAATACTCGAACCAGCAGCAGATAATGGTTTTGATTGAGGTGTATATTTACTTATTGTATTTTAAGATTTTTATTTTTTCAGTTTTTATTTTTTTTGTAAAAGTTATTAAGTTTGACAGTTTGATTACATAGGGGGCAAAATTTTACAACTTAATTTTGATTTTTTGGTTACTCTGGCATACACACCCATTCCACTGTGAAGTGTTAAAATGCAGATGTAAATATAATAAAACCTTGAGAAAAAAAATTGTGAATGATGTTTTTACCAAAACAGTTTACTTATAAAAACTTCACATTTTAAAAAATACGTATTTCTTTAATTCATTATATTCTGGTCAACATTAAATAAAAATTGCAACATGCAAAGATTGTTTAATTTATTGAATCTTTTCTGTAACTAACTAATTATTTTCTAATGTCATTAATTTGTTTGATTAAAAAATCAGTACAGAATAGATTGATAGATTGATCATTACAGTTTGGATGGGATATTTTTTTATATATAGATACAGATTATAACCATAGAATATTTGTATCATATTACAATGTATCATCAAAAGATTAGTCAGAGACACATGTCATTTTCATTCACCTTGACAGCTGAGAGTTAAATAAAGAGCCAAATAGTCAGAGAATATATTGGAAAAATCAGTGATATATAAAGCTATTGATAGCAGGGAGAAAATCAGGGATGCTGCTATTGTCCTTGTAGATCCCCCTGAGGATTGTGTCTGGGTTATTGATAGCAAATGAATTAATGACTGTAATAATCAGTTACTGTAACTGTATCTGTGGGGATGTTTACACAAGCTTTATCTCCATCATACAGAGCTTTGTTTTTGTTGCAAATTGGTGCACTGCTGAGTTTGGGAAACCATTAAGTAAGGGAGATAAATCAGGTGATGTGGGGTCACAGGTCAAACACATTTCAAGGGAGTGTTAAGTGGAATGCAGTGTCCATTAACAGACATCTACATCATGTACACTAGTGTCAGCAGCTGGACTAGGTATTTCACTTAAATTATTGTCAACAGAGTCCAATACACGTCTCCCACAGGTGGGAGGGCAATACAGTACTATGTCGACAGGAGTATTTTGAATACAATGATACAGTCAAAGATTTTATGACGTATTGGAATCTACCACATATTATTAATTCAGGACAAAATTACTCTCACTAAATAAAGGCACTTTTATCATTTAATGTGACATTTCAGCAGCAGTTAGTTTGATGGCTTTTGTGTTATCTAGGATATTTACCCAATACCACATCAGTGAAAGTGCAAGTAGCTCAATTTTTGTTTAGATTAGTTGCATCGCTTTGATGTACTTTTGAAAGTGTTTGAAAATTTCATCCAGATCCCTTTTGATGTGACCAGCCCAAAATCAGAAGCAGGAATCTGAAAGGAAAATAGTATAGGATTCATAAAATTTATAATAATCTTTAGTCCCTGGGGACGATCCAAGCTTTTGGTGAATGATCAGATTAATGAAGTTCTGCAGTGGAAACTGGTTTTGATGTGATTCAAGTGGACTAAATACTGAATTATGCTGTCTAGTGCTTTAATAAATTTCTGGTCCTTGCACTTTACTAAAGCTGAAAAATCAAATCAATGAGGTGATTTGCTCATTCTTTTGTAAAACACGCTAAATGAATTTCCATTGGGAGCATATAGTTGGCTGTTTACAGTAGCTGTTGTAGTTAAACGGTGATTGCAAACTTTCCGCAACAGGTGTGGAACTGTCAAACCCTAATGTGAGTTTCATGCTGCTGTATAGTGACATCTGACCCCCTTCATCACTATCCGTGATATGGATAATTAACCTTCTGATTGACAAAAATACATCAATGGATAGTTCTGATGATCTGAAGGTAAATATATCTCTCTGGATTCACCTAAACCTCCATCTGTGCCCAAAAATCAGGGATGTGTTAGGCATGATCATGTTATGACATTGATGAATGGATAATCTGTCTTGAAATACCAGAATGTAAAACATTCAATTTTTTGTCACTTTTATACATACTGATTTTGATTTTAAAAAAATAATCAATTTTCCTTTCACTTTGTGGAATGAATACATTAGCTTAAGTTTTCTTAGAAGTTAGAGCACTGGAATTTTTCTACTTTTGTAACCATACATGTTTCTCATGCAATTTTTATTCAAAAATCAAAAGTGAAAAGATCTAAAGAAATTATTAACTGTAATTGTTGCCTGTTTTAGCTTATTATATAATTATTACCATAGTCTATAGGTAAAAGAGTTTGGAGTATCTATTGAACAAAATGACTGCACTAATTTAAAACATACAGCTCGACCTAGTGTACAATATGTAATTACATATGTTTTCATGTGTTCAATTTTTACCAGTTTTACTTCATTAATAATTATTGTAAATGAATAATTAATCTGGTGAACATCTTTCTGTATCTTCTAGCTTATGGAGAAGCACATTGATAATATAGCTTTAAAATAGCTCTGAAATTTTGATTTTGGTGGTGTGTCTGTTTTAGGTGTAAATGTTTGGTTTCTGTCTACAATTCTGATTATACCAGTAATTGTTTAATCTAAGTAAAGAATTATGAAAGGGTTAACTTTATGTTTGGGAAAGGTGAAAGGTCAAAAATAAAGCTTCACTTAAGGTCAAGGTTACATGTCAAGTTGAAGTTTTGCTTTCTGTAAACTACTGAGAGTGATTAACTTAAGGACTCCTAGGGTATTGAACAAGGGGTAGGGAGGGGCAGGGTCCCATCCTCAAGCACCTGTTATTGATAGTTTGGAGTGTCGATCAAGTCTCATGCAATTCATTTCTAGCTTGTTTCCCCTTTTTATTCTCAGGCTAAAACTATTTACATTTTAGAATTTGGATATGTTACAGAAGTTCTCTTAGTCATCATAAGTCCTTCGAGATTTAGAGTTTGGAATAAATGAATGCTAAATTAAATACTGGAAAACTTTTAATGTAAAGAGTATATCTTATTGATATCTCAGATATACCTTGGATATGTTGTACATAGTGAACTGCAATTCCCAACCAGGTTTGCACTTTATATCTCAAATGTTTGGATATCTCTATATTTGTTCTTGTTGAGTTAGAGCTAATGAGGTTAGACTGTATGTGGGTGTAAAATAAACTAAAATGCCCTTTAGGTGATCTTTCTCAAAGGATTCCTGTATTCTCTGAAATACTCGAGTCTTTTGTCATAACTATATAACCAACCAGATATTGAAGTTATTTCTAATTGAATTAATTTAGACATATATCCCTTGTACAAGTGTTCAGGGTACCTAATGTTCAACTGTATGTTAGTGCAAATGCACTCATTGATTGAAGGTTATTCAAGCTAATTCAGAACATTTTATTTATCCATTTTATAGTATTCTCTTTTGATCTGAGTCTTGTTAGATGAGTTTGGACCTTTTCAAAGTAGTGGCATATATGTTACGGTTCAGTGTAAAAATAAACTTGAGTGTCCTTTGAGGAGCATATAAATAATAGATGTATCTCATCCATGGATTAAAAAATGTAGTTAAAAATATATAGACTGCATTTCCCTAAAGGTTATTTTGTTTTCTTTATGAAAAGAAGCCATTGTATCCATTATTCTGTGCCATTATTATTCCCCTAAAAGCATGAGAGACCTTTTTGTTTGAAGGGCCATTGTAAAGCTGTTGCATATTAAATAAAATTTGTTAATAAAGTGTCTGAACAATCAAAGGGCCCTGCAAAAGGTCGACGATTGTCATAGAAACTAATGCTAGAAACTCTGTCATAAGTAATAATGTGGCAATTATCATAGTCGGTTGTTTCCAAATCAATAGCCTTTTTATCCAAAAACATTCATATCTACTATGTGACTTTCATATTAAAGCAATAATTTTGCAAATAGACAGTGAATAAATCAGAACCCTATTGTTCATTTGGGAATCAACAGCTAAAGTTGTGTAATGAGAAAAGCAGAGGAATGTGAGTTCAGTTTTTCTGAGTTTGTTTTTTATTGTGGTGTTTTCTTTGAATTTTCTTTCAGTTAAGGGTGCACATGTGCTTTTCATTCAAGATTAATTTAATTTTGGTTGCAACACGTCATTTGATTGGATAAAAAAATTAATTTAAATTGTATAATCTGGTTTGCCTAGGTCATAATGACTTAAAAATGTATCAATCCACTTGACATTATGTTTAAAATATGAACAATTTGAAGGCTTTTTTAAGGGAGAAACTGTCTTGTTTTATATACTTAAAATTAAATTATAAGGAAAGAATTAAATAGCAACCCAAATTGTACTGCTACAACCTGGGTTGGAGCAGTTAAAAATACGCTTTTTTATAAACTGCTTCTTGATTTATAAAGCGTAAACTGCCCCAACCCAGGTTTTACAGTATAATTTGGGTTGCTATTTAATTCGTTCCTGAAATATTTTTTAAAGCTTCATCTTTTGTACTGGATTTGTAATTATCCAATATGGTTTATCACTGCAAAGTATGTTTGATTTTCTATGCTCTCAGGTGAGTGAAATCATTGGCCTGATGCTGTTCATTTATTGAATATTAAGAAATTGAAATATTGTTTCCTTTGATTATCAGGTGATGACAATTACAATTCCATTCTATGTCAAAAATCACTTTTTTATATCCCAAACTGATTGCTGTACTCGTATGTTGCCAAAAACATAGGAATAAGACTGGTTCTGAGCTTCCACACCACCACACACCAGACAAGACCTATTCTTTGGACTCTATTTTGGATTGACAATAATCCTCTAGCCAGCATGTTGAAATATAATTTATTTGACCAGGATTAATAGATTACTTAATTTTGATTGTTTGAGTCCATTGTGACAAGTCTGAAATCACTGCACCTAGTGTACTCAGTCATCTACAAACATTTATCTGTTGATCTATGAGGGTCCTAATCCAGTTCCTGATGCTCTAAAGACTCAATATCTGTATCAATTACTTTACTCAGAAGGCATAAAAAAGATCAGCCTCCTCTCCGATTCCTACACGTAGCAGAGAAGGTCCACATCCTCTAATTGATTTTTGACCAAGATCTGGAATCATCTCGGCATTATTCAGTGATTGCACAGTGTTGCCATCAAACTTTAAAGATCTTTGATGGTTCTTATTTTGATTAAACAGTCTCCTTGCTCAAGAGTTCCTTATTTGAAGGTGTATTAATGTGTGTTTTTAGGGTCCTTAATAAAGTCCAGATTTTTCAGGACAACTAAGCTTTAAATTTTTTTCTGATTTTGCATGTGTTGGAGCAATTCATAAATGATATGTTCCAGTTTTTCCCTTAGGAATATATTTTAACAGTATGATATGGCATACAAACTATTTCCATGAAGATAAAATTTGTTTCTAAAGTTTCTAAATAATTTAAATGGCACTATGTACATGAGTATCTGAGTGACCCTGGATTGAATGTATCATATTCTTTGTGGTCCAACAAGACTTTTATACACCATCTTCTTCATAACCTTTACATGTCTAATAATCCTCATAAAACATGTAACGTATCTCACTCAGCGTATTGAGTCCTCTTTGATGGGGCGATTATGATTATTTATGTTTTCTGTGGATGAAAGTTTGTATTAACCCCAACTCCTAGCCTTTGTCAATATTCATTCTTTATGCCTCAAGAAACGATATGGATACGAAGTATTGATTTGATACTAGGTCCTTCAATGACAAGCCCTTGTAATGCCTTAAAGTTGTGTTGTAAGATCATTAGTGAGAAACTTAAGAACTTTTTTTTCTTACTTGTCAGTTTTTGTAATTGATATTTATTGCAATGTTTGATAAGCAATCAGTAAAATATTTGTAGGTTATTTGGCTCCCTATTTGTAACATCAATATTTCTCAATAATCTGATAACATTTACGAGATTTTGAGGATGTTTTAAATCAGTTTACACCCATAACAATCAAAAAGCTGAGAGGTGTCAATACGGATATTTAGAAAGGTATTCAAGCTATCAGTTCTGAGTTTTAAAGTGTTCTCTTCTGTCAGGGATATCAAACTAACAGACAAGAACAATTAACATAAATTCAAAGTCTAGGTTAGCCACCTGAAGTAATGATCTAGTGCACTTCTTTCTGCAAACTAAAGAAATGATGCCATCAAAGCTCTCACTCTGGAAAAAGATAGATTCTTAATTTTTGGTTGTGAGTTAAGGAATTCAGTTTTGAACACTGATAAGGAAGGTATCAATGGTATAGATTTGTATTTGTTCAAATTATAATCCCCCGAGGACAGGGTACTGTGGTCTTAGTGGAAGGTCAAAAATTTTACATGAAAGATGTAGGGAAAATTCTTGAAAAATCAACTCTTTTGAGAATATTAGGGGGATGATATATACATGTACTTATTTGGAAGGAAATCTTTTGGTGGTGTATAGATTAAGGTTTGCTCAAATCATGACCCTCGCAGGTAGGGTATGCCCAAGTATAGGCGATGTATACAAGTATTGTACCTAGTCCTGAATAGAAATCAGACACTGGATAACAACACAAACAGACACTAAGAAACAAAAGGAGTAAATTCACCATCTTCCATACTTACCATCTTCCATACTCAGCATACTTTGATCTCTCAGGGGAGGATTATGAAGTCATTATATTAATTGTGTTAATTGGTCTATCATATGCATTTTCAACTTCTGCTGATACTAGAACACCTGTAAATATAAACAGATCAGATACAATCCATCAGTAAGCATCTTGGGATTGTTCTTGTTTGCAGTGCTGAAGTTCATATAGTGCATGATTTCACATACTGTTACATGTATCAATTATCTGTGCAGCATTTTTTTTCCATGTAAACACTTAATTAAATAACTAGAATATCTCCTATGAAGTATAGAACTTGTAGAAGTGCAAACAGGTAGTACAGAATTTTTAATAGGAAATATGACCAGTTTATAATTAATTTAAAGTGACACATAGTGTCATATTGTCTTAAAGTTAAAAAATAAGGCCAGAAAAAATTAAATTTTAGATTTTCATTCCACTTGCCCCACCCCTTTCAAAGTGTTCCACCCTGGTTTTAAGGGCAGGGGGGGGGGTATCAAAGTATTTTGTTTTACATGTTTTAATATCAAAAAGCAATGGTACGTGTTAGTCCCCTGTGTCATATTACAAACTATAGATTTGAAGACAGGTTAACAATCGGCAAAAAAACATGAGAAAAACAGTGTACATTAAAAAAAAAAAAAAAAAAAACTCTGCATGAAAAGGACCAAAAAGAAGTATAATTGCTTTTACATATATACTGTATTAAATTTTGAAATAACTATATATACCATCAACAGGTTTGAAATTATTATCTTCCGCAAATCACTATATAGACTAAGCCAATTATTGGTTAAATGGTATACCGTAAATCTGGAAATTTTTGCTGTAGATAAATTTTTAGCAAATTTGCGAGTTCATTGCATTCGCAAAAATATTTTTCTTAAAAATAAATTACCAAAAGAAAATGTAAACATTACAATGGTCATTCGCAAAATTTTGAAACGTAAAAATTAATCAAAAGCACTTTGACCTGAATTCGCAAAATAAAATTGATGTAAAAATTTCCAGATTTACGGTATACATGTATATGGAGAAAGGCTGGTTAGATTCATGAAGAGCAGTACTTTACCATTGCACAGCTGCATGTATTGGGATCAGTTCATGTACAATTGGAATATATTCCATTTAAAAAAATGTACATGTTTTAAAGGATTAGCAATACAATCTCTCTTTATCAGCATTAGCATTGTTAAAATTTTGTATGAAAAGAACATTAATATATTATATGGATATTTTCAAGTATAAAAAAATATAGATGAAATCTGCCCATCTGACTATTGGGTAAATAATTAATATTATTATCAAGTTTGAATTAGAATCTAAAATTAAAAATTTTTGTAGCCTAATTCTAGGATCATTTTCTCTTGTAGGAGTCAGTCTCTGGCACATTGCCAGAAGCCGATGCCGACACACGACCACTAGACTCCAGAAATTTGGACAGCAAAACCATGGACAAAGTCTACTACCAGTACCGAGAGAAACTCATGAACCAGGGAAGATACATCGACCCTGAAACGGAACTGGAGGCAGACAGTTTCGGGATGGGTGTGGTTCGTAAAGAAATGGACCTTACAAATGACGAGAAGCAGTACCTCCTGGCAGTAGAACGGGGAGACGTCCCCTCAACTCGTCAGTATCTCAGTATGGGGGTCCAGACAGGACTCAATGTGAACTGTGTAGACCCTCTAGGACGCTCGGCACTACTCATTGCCATCGAGAATGAGAACATTGAAATGATTGAAGTTTTGTTGAATTACAATGTGGAGGTTGGAGACGCCCTTCTTCATGCTATCAATGAAGAGAATGTGGAGGCTGTGGAGTTGATACTAAACCATGAGGTAGCCACCAAAGGAGAGGAGGTAGGGTATTAATAAGTGTGCTAGAGTCAGCCCACAAAGTCTGAGAATAAGATTTTATACTGTTATGATTTTACTAAATACCCTAATCTTTCTAGAGATGTGGTTTGATTACTAGTATATTTTACATTTGCATTAACCTTTTCATGGAAACAACCATTTTCTTCAAATCAGAGTAGAGTTAAGATTGCATTTTGAAATATCTTTTTGTAGATCATTAGAGCTATATTTCAATACAGGGATTGTTTGACTTGATTTCCTGTTCTACTGCATTAATTATTCACAACTTTTTTATACTAATTAAGCCTCTAATCTTCAGCAGAATCTGGTTTCAGATTTTCACCTGAAAATCATTTATGGTGTATTTGCCAATGGTTTATCATTTATACTATCAGCTTTTTAGCATGCAGTTGATGGAGGAAAATTGAATGGAGCAGAGCTTTTGTCACCTCTATTAACCCTGAGAGATTCTGGGCATGCTAGAGCTCTTCTTATCCTATTCTGTCAGTCACCAGTCTCTTCTTCATTCATTCTACCAAATTTTTTTGCCCACTTTCTCTTTGTAATTAAGGCTAACTCATTTACAACAGGTTGAGCATCCATAACGGTTTGTTTTCATTGGCTGGTTTCCAGTGACCCAATCAGAAGCTGGTATTGGATTTGTCTTGTTCGGCTCAGCTGTTTGAGCAAGCTCTGCTCATCAGAGATTTACAGAGACAGTCAAGCATTTGGTTGAATGAGACTTTAAGGATGTCAACCAGTCTCCTTTTGACTTTCTAGATAATTTGTAACTTTTTCATGGAGATTTGATGAGAAAAAAATATATAGTGTTATATTCCCATGTAGATATAGTATGCTTTCGGATTCTACATGGCTTTGTATAAGTACTATAATGATTTTAGTTGCATGTTGTGGAAGAATAGTAGGAAATATGTTTTAAAAAGTACTGAAGGATGGAAATAGGGAAAGTTCCACAATAACTTAAGAACTGCATTAATGTCAAAGCAATATTTGCCATAAATGCCAAGAACACCTTGATTCTATGGCAGGTGTATAGCTTTAATGTGCTGCCTGGCATTTCCTACTGATGAAACATTTATTGAATAACAACCTGATCTTACCTTAGTCTTTGAAGTAAATGAACAAGGAATTTGGTACATATTATGCACTTTGTAGCAATTCTACGGCAGCCTTTGTTCCAGACACCAAGTCTGAAGTGCTTTGACATTTCCCTGTTTACACAATTTGATTCTCCATTGATGCAAAAGTAAACATCATTAACGGATGTGAGGAAAAATTCCAATCGCAGAAGCTCAGAATGAGCATACAGTCATTTATACTATGAATCAGTGTTCCCAAATTACCAACTGATTTTATAGGGTTAAGAAATTTAATTTTGAAAGATGATATGCTCCCAAAGTGAAATTTTGATGACATTTAAATATGTAAAATATTGATTTAAAATTTATACAAAGTAATCAGTTTTGAAATTAGTCAAGACTCAGAAGCAGTATTTGAACACAGAAATAGATTGCTTTTGTTTGTTGGTTAATTTCTATAGCAGCCATGATAGAAGTCAGGAATCCATATTTCAATTGTTTTCATTGTTTATCAGTTTATTTATCATTTTTCATCATATTCAGTTGGGCTTTAAAACTTTAAGGAAAATTCAAAACATATTGATTTTTAAGACTAAAATATGAACATTATCACAGATCTGATGGAAAGATTGTATGTATTATTCATTGCATACAAGTTTAAGGGATGAATTCCCATAACTTTCGTCAGATCTACAACAATTTTGAATTATTTTTAAATGAGAGTGAAGAAAAAAAATACTACTAAATAGTTTGAATTACAGTTACCATGATGCAGCCAAATTAAGGCGCCTGGTACAAGTTTGTCATCTTGTGTATTTTAAGGGCTTTCAAAAGTGGGATGGGGCTATATATAAATTCAATTGAAATTCAATGGAAATGATGAACCCTTACTTGAAATAAAGGTGTACATGTATAAAATATATTATTTTAAGTAAAAGTGATATTCCATTTGTGTAAACTTATCAAGGATGAGGTACATGAAATATTAGTGCAAAATTCAGTATGGATTCTGATTTTCTTGTCAATCTACTGGGGCCATGTAACACATTATCGTTTAAATATTGATGTTTTTTTCCTAATGATTTTTCTACAGTAATTCTTTCCAATTAAGGCATTTGTTTTTGATGTGAAAATTATGACCGTTTGACAATCAGACATAGAACTTATATTATGGGATTATAGTGACCTCAGAAGGATAAAATTAACTTTTTAGCAAATGATATATTTACTACCTAACAGTGTATTTCATAATTTAATTCTGTCTAAAAACATGAATGAAATGAAATTTTGAGTTATTTCTTTAAATCTTAGTCAATTAATAATTAAATCTCTCCGTCTAATGCTTATAAGATAAACTTGAAGACCATTTCATGAACCCATACCATGTACAATATAGTCCCTGAAATCACAGGAAATCATCATAGCTGCCCAGATTAACAGTTATCTCATCTCATCAAAGAATGGCTTTACCAGCAGGTCACCAAATATTTATGTTTTAAAGAGGGGAACAAGTTGAGCTTAACAGCTGTTTATTTTCATAGATGAACAAAAACAGAGAGAAAAAACTCAGCTTGGGAAGTCATGCTCTGTCAGTAGTACTCACTAAATAAACTATAAAGAATAGGAGACCAACCACCCAACAGTCAGGCATCGGATAACATCTCACCTCAGGAGCTCCAGCCTATTATGTAAACAAAATGTAATTTATCTGACAGGGTTTCCAATTTACTGTAGCTTGGAACAACACCTCTAGTCCATTAAAACTGGTGCCAATAGGCAGGTACAGACAATATAAAAACACCCTCCCTGCTGTACTGGAATTCAGGATGCTGTAATGTGTGTCTGTCTTCATGTTGTTAAACTGTACCCATATCAGCTGTTATATTGTTGTCGGAGAGTAACCTACAGACCAATTCAAAGGAAAATTAGGATATGAATTGGTTTTATCCCTCATTGTCACTTTGAACTACAATCACTGAAAATTTTTACAAATTGACTATTATTAACCTTGAATTAAAGTCTAATTGTGACATCACTTTTTAAGCCCCCTTGAAAAAGAATATAAGCACAGGAGTTCGTGTACCTATCAATTTTGCCAAAATTTTCGGTAAATAAAAAAGACACATAATACCTATAATAATAACACAAGGAGTGCAATGCACTTTAGGTCACCTGGGAACCCCTCGCTTAATATCAAGGCTGTCGCACAATTAATCTTCAATAAAAAATTATAAAACACAAACCAATCTTTTTGGAAGGGACCATTCTTTATGGCTCTTAATGCATATGATTTCAAACGCATGTTTTACAGCAGCAGCGGTGACATTTCTCCACGACTTCGCTCAAATATCCGTTTTCCGCGACGCCATGACGTGACGTCATGGGCCCTTTGATTGGATGATCTTACGATTTTGAGGTCAAAGGTCAAACTGGACATAAAAAAATTGGCTGCTCAATATGCACATCAAACTTCATTGGCACACTAGTACCTCAGGAGTAGGTGACCATTGTAGATTTTGACGTCATAAGGTCAAGGGTCAAACTACTCTAGACATAAGAAGATGTTTTCTTATTAATTTTTTGAGAGCACTTTCCTTGTAGACATGAATTAGAAGATTTTTTTCTCTCAGAATTATATGATCATGAGTTCATGATATCAAAGGTCAAACTGGGCATGGGAGGTCTTGACAAAAGCACCCTCCCCCTTCTTTTTGTATCAAACAGGAAATGTAGACATTGCCTGTGAAACCATCTTCCAACTTCATGAGACCCCATCAAACAGCTAGGAACACTTACATGGCATATTACAAAATTATGATTTCATTATCGATAAGTCTTTTAAAAATTGCAGTGTTAAGAGACCAAATTCCTTTCAAACTTGTTTTGTCTATAGACTTATTCTTCTTAAATATACAGGTAATATTGAAATAATCTTTGATGTACCTTGCAATTATGCTGAGTCAGGCTAATTAACACAATGTATTTTGTAAGAATTGAAGTTTACAGACTGAAATACCATAAAGGAGTAAAATTAAAACATACATTTTTTATGTCGAGATGCCTGTATACTATTGATTTTTATTCTAAAATATATTTATTGATCAATTTTCAGGCAGTTGATGGTTGACATGTTTTTATTCACATTAGATTCCTCAATATATATTTCAGATTCCACAATTATCCCTAAACAATATGATGAAAAGAATTTTTACTTGATGAATTTGGTGACTGTGCATTTTCATAAGCATTTTCAGTAATTTCATTGCTGAATTTCAGAGTGTTGGACAAATACTTTACCTATCATCATTGCTTACTAAGATCACGAATGAAATCATTTTATATTTAATATGTTAATAAACAAGAAATAACAAGATTTTAAAATTATTTTGATCAAATAGTATTATCATATACTTAATTTGCCTGGCATGTAAATTAAGTTTTGACATGGTTACTAAAAATAGAATTTTCTATGAAATTCCTTGGCACACAAGTGTTTTACATTATACATAAAAAGATTGTGAAATTCCTTTAAAAAACTCTGATTTTAAAATAACTTGGCACACAAGTAGACTACACAAGATACCTTATCGGTTTTATTTTGATAAAACTACTGGTATTTATGTAGTACCTTAATGAATATTGTATTATTTAAAAAAAAAAATTGACACTATTAAACAGGTTCACTCCTCTTCACTATAATGAGAGGCTGCCATTGAGCACTGCTTTCTTGGCTGCACTGTGATCCTGTATTGTTTCCTAACAGCTGTTTCCTTCGTGTGTATGTTCTTTTTGTGTCCCTAGCTTTAATCCTCTGCACCCCTTCTTCTGGTTAATTAGATATGTAAACTTTTATTGTATGCGCAATAATCTTTGCTTGTGTAATAGTCGCCATCTGTTTTTTCTGAGGTTTTAATTTTTTTTTACAGCGATGTGTTGTACATTTTATTGTTATGTAACTAATATGCACATATCAAGGACTTCCTGCTCTTTAAGCTTGTAATTGAAATCAATATATTGCAGAAAGGACAACTTTTTTCATTGCATCTTAAAGAAAATTTTAAAAAGATTCAGTACAATTTCTTTTCAAATAGTCATATTTTTTAATGCTTGTACAGAATTAAGACATTTTCAGATTCAAAAAATGCTAGTGCATTTTTGTATGTGTGAAGGGGGGAAGGGTGTGTGTGTGATAGGTCTGAGATGTAGAAAAATAATTGTATTAGGAGAAAAGGACTTTGATATGTGTATGAAAACTGTCTGTGCTTAATTTTGTGTGCTCTTTTACAGTCTATTGATTCACGTCATAAAAGGGTGAGTATTCTCCCTTGATCTACCATTTATCACAACATTATCTAATATAATATACGTGTAGATCATAATTCTTACTATTTGAAATAACCAGTCCACTTTACCAACACATAGCAGTCATGTTCAAATTCCAGATGGAATTCTGAGCAATATTTTCAGTGCTTATTCTTCATTTCATTCTATTTCAAAATTTTTTTGTAACTTTGTAAATCAAAAAAATCTAACATAAACGTATTTGTATAACTGGCCCATCATAAAATTCAAAATTATATTTTCATTCTTCTTTCACTTACATTTCTTTCACATAAAATACAAATATATAAATATTAATTCATTGAAAACATTAGGGGACAAAAGAAGAAAGAGTTCTGTGTGTTACAGTCTGGTATTGAACTTTCTGTGCTGTTTTTATCATTTTATAGTGCTAAATCAGAGGTACTTTAGACATTAATATCACTATAAAAACATAGAGTTTAAAGTTATGGTCATATTAAGTATGATTTTTCATAGAGTATCAAAATTGCAATACTCTATGCAAAATAATTGAGCCAAATTGTTATAATTTGAAAAGTGAATGGACCAATGTAATTATTATATATATTTTACTTCTATACCAATGGAGTATCTAAAAAGGCATGCAAATTATAAAAAAAAAATTAGTGGGAAATAAAATTTAAGTCAAAATATCCCTAATTCTAGTAAAAATGTCACATATGCAAAACATCAATTCTATAGTACCTCTGTAGATTTGCCTTTTTGTTTTAATTAGTACAACTCATGTAACCATCCATTGCTTGTTATACCCCCCGCTTGAAAAGCGGGAGGGTATATAGTAATCGTTAATTCCTTCCGTCCGTCCGTCCGTCCGTCTGTCTGTCCGTCCGTCTGTTACGCTTTGGGGTACCCATCTCTTATCCGTAACTCCTCTCATACCACTGAATGAAATTTGATGAAACTTTCACAGAATCTTTATTACATATTGCCATTGTGCACCTCCTATTTTACTTTTTGATCCGACACATATTTTGGGTTTCCCGGCCACAGGAAAACATGGACTTTTTTACCACTTATAACCATAGGGGAGGCGGGGGGTATCATTTAGTGAGCTCATCGCTCACAGTACCTCTAGTTTATATCTGTAAACATGTAACATATACTATACCAAGCTATTTAATCAGCATTACTGTGTACAGGGAAATTTTCACCCCGTTTTATTTTTGCCCCTATCGTCCTACCCTTATTTGGTCAAATTAAAAATGGTGCGAATTCAAAGAATACAGTACTGTATAATTTTTTAAACAAAACTATGACTGGGCGAATTTAAAACTAGGCAAAATTGTTTGCTAGTGTGAAAGGGCGAAAATAACATGGGTTGAACATAACTTTGTATACAGTATTCTCTCTTTGTACATATAAATCATACTTTTATAGAATATGGTACATGCATTATTTTAATACAGTGAAACTTGTTTTATCTGGATGTTGTATATTCAAAAATATTGCCTTATATGACCTAAACATTGTGTAAATTGATTCAATAAATGTGTATAAAATGTCTAATCAGTAATGTTTTTTTATCTGTCCATCAAGAATTAGTGGTGTTCAGTTATAGACAAGTTTTACTTTATTTTCAAAATATATGTACTTTTTAAATTTTCCTTCAAAATCTGAAACTTGTTCTTAAACTATCAGGAGTGACTTCTCTCCTGTGACTGGATTTAAAGTGTATTAAACATGTAATGCTGTTATATCTTTGAGTTTTTATACATCAGATGGACAAGGATGTTGTTTTAAATGTTGACATATGTACAGTAAAATGTTCTCCTTGTTGCAGATTTCCCCTTAGCATGCATTAGTGTCTTAATTGTAAGGTATCCTTATAAAGTGACTAGTGGGTTCATTTAAAGACCTTGCCGCTGACTTCATGTTTTAAAAGAAAGCAAAAGATGCAGCCATTTGCCCTCATTTAACTCTGATGTACCCATGCAAACTGCATATTCTTAAGCTTAAGATACATAATTAAGGAATCACTGTCTAGTTTGATGGGTATGCCAGGACATCAGCAATAGTTGGAAATGCTTGCTATGCATAAATTATCCCAAGCTTCCCTGCTTCCCTGGCATACCCAACAAACTAGACAGTGATTCCTTATATTTCCATATCATTGTGAAATAAAATTGTAAATTTAGATTTTCAAAATGTTGTCTAATAGATTTAAATTACATGAGGCCACCCACTGACAACAGACACAAAGACAGCTTCATGAGATTTTCTGCATATTAGGCTTAGCTTGGCTCTTGACCTTTTGCTCCCTGAAATTTTACATTCCAGTTGAATTATTTAAGGAATCACTGTCTAATTAGTATAGTATGCCATGGCATCAATGATAATGGGAAACATGGGATAAATTGCATAATGGGCTTCCATGTTTTCCACTATCAGTGATGTCCCTGGCATACTATACTAACTAGACAGTGATTCCTTATATTTCCATTTCATAGTGATATAAAATTGTAGATTTAGACTTAAAAATATAGACATAGATTTAAATTACACGAGGACTCCCATGCCAATTTCAATAGTCCTTGCCCCCTGACATCGATCACAAGGGCAGCCACATGAGATTTACATGCATATTTGGCCTCCGTAGCATGACAGACACAGAGACAGATGCGCACAAGTTTTGCATGCATATTAGGCCTCCTCATCTCCTGACCTATCGATGTGCTTAATTTACATTCAAGTAGAATTATCAAGAAATCAACTCTTCTAACTTTCAAAGAGATACCACAGAGAGAAAAAAATTAGAAATGGAAATATTAAGAGATAAACTGACCTAAACTTTCAAAGAGTTATCACACATAAAACAAATAGAAATGGAAATATTTCTATTCATCAGCTTTTTATTCTGATTCAGACATTTCTGACATCCTAATGTTGCCATGGTTACTAAAAATATATATTTTTGTGAAAATCTGATTTCAATAAATTTGCTGTACAAAGGGATTAAACCAAGGATCCTAATTCTATTCACTGGTTTTACCATAATTTTTAACCTGTGCTACCCTTTTCCTCCTTAATGTTTTGAGTATAAACCAGTAGAGCTACAGTCTACTTTTGGTCCTTTTTCAAAAGTTTGATGTTCCAGTTTAACTGAACTTATAGGTAGAGCAGTAGGTTTGATTTTAATGATTGGATTGTGAGTTAAGATAATGTTTTATTTGTGTTGTATGCTCTAAATGATAAATGAAATTGTACTGAAACAGATGTTGAAATGAACAAGATATTATGCAGATCAAATTAAGCAGTGTTCTTTTTTCCTTCAAAATATCATCATCTAGACATTTGTTCCCTTAAGCAATAAAGCATCAATTTTCTTGTCTCACATTTTGAAAAGTATATTGATAAACAATCAGACATGTTGAAAAAAATATACCTCATGTAAATTAGTATTTTCATTTGAAAAATCTGAACTAATTAACAAAACATTCTTAGCCTAATACAAGAAACTGCATAATACCTATGATTAAGCTATAACAAAATGATTTCTTCATTAAAAGTAATAGAATTATATCACTAAGAATTCATTTTTCAGTCTCTACACCAGAGTGTTCCATCCAGTTCATTTACCCCCGACATCACCCCCATAATCCTGGCAGCTCATCGTGACAACTACGAAATCATCAAGTTACTCCTAGATCGGGGCTACCAGATACCCAAACCCCATAACATCAAGTGTTACTGTAAATCGTGCATGGACGGAAGTACCGACGACAGTTTACGTCACAGTCGGTCACGCATCAATGCTTACAAAGCACTAGCCAGTCCCTCCTTAATCGCTTTGTCTAGTAAAGACCCTATACTGACCTCATTTGAGTTGAGTTGGGAACTTAGAAGACTTAGCAAATTAGAAAATGAGTTTAAGTTGGATTATGAAAAATTAGCCAAAAAGTGCCAAGAATTCGCTGTGGATTTACTGGAACAGATCCGTGGATCTAAGGAGTTGGAAGTGATCCTGAACCATGATACGACTAATCCGGCGTATAATGAGGGGGGACAGGAAACAGAACCTCATGCTAGCGACAAGCTGAAGCTCAGTCGGTTAAAACTGGCCATCAAGTTTAAACAGAAAAAGGTATTTACTCTCATCATTTGTTTGTATGTTCTCTCTGTAAATATGATGGCCGGGGCATATTATGTTTTGTTAATTCTTCAACCATCCTTTGATCCATGCTTCTTTCTATCCAGCTGTCTGTCCAAGCATTCCATGCATCACTTTGTGTTTTAGCTAAGTTTCAAACAGAGTTTTAAGACAATTTTATTAAACTTTATTAAACTTAGATTTGTTGATATACACTGTATAATGATACATTTATCCCTTTGACCTTAACCTTATATTTCCTTAATTTGTAGTAACCTGTATTTCAGTCTAAGGAAACTGAAGATATTCTTAATGCCTTAAAACATATAATGATACATATTGGTGAGAACTATTCAAAGAAATAAAAATGTTTGATCCTGACCTTTCTTTGCCTTATTTTGCTGAATTGCAGTTTAGCTCAATTTCAAAGAAAGTATTCAAAATATTCCATAAACATGCACATGGATAAATACCGGCCGGCCAGTATATTTAAAAAATAAAAAAACCCAACTGTGTCCATTTTTTTCCATTGAATTTTTCTATGACCTTTGACAGTAAATGTATAATATATGTTATTAATTGTGTTAAAAACTCAGTTGTAAGGAAACTATTTAAAAGAATTTTATCAAATGTCATACTCTTAAACATATTGGTGAGACCTATTCATTTTCTTATAAAGTTTAAGCTCTACTGGTTGGAGCCTTATGCGATAGTAATGTGTCCGTTGTCTGTCTGTAAACAATTTTACAAAATGCTACTCCTCTTACAGTTTTGGTCTGATTTCAATATAACTTTGCACACAAGTAGACTATACTAAGATACATAATTTTTTGTATCGATGATTTTGATGAACGTTGTCGGGTTACAAAAAATAGAAATTTCTGTAAAATACTTTAAAAATGCTACTCCACATACAGTTTTAGTATGATTATAATGTAATGTGGCATGCAGGTAGACTACACTGAGATACATAATAGTCTTAATTGTTTTTAGCTCTATTGGTCAGAGACCAGAAGAGCTTATGCGATGCTAATGCCTCCGTCGTCCGTCCGTCTGTCTGTCTGTAAACAATTTTTCAAAATGCTACTCCTCCTACAGTTTTGGTCCGATTTCAATATAACTTGGCACACAAGGAGACTAAACTAAGATACATAATTCTGTGCATCGGTTTTTGATTTTGATGAACGATGTTGCTTTGGTTACTAAAAATAGAAATTTCTGTGAAATTATTTCAAAATGCTACTCCTCCTACAGTTTTGGTCTGATTCAATATAACTTGGCACACAGGTAGACTACACTAAGATACATAATTCTGTGCATCAGTTTTTGGTTTCGATAAACGATGTTGCTGTGGTTACTAAAAATAGAAATTTCTGTGAAATTGTTTCAAAATGCTACTTCTCCTAAAGTTTTGGTCCGACTTCAGTATAACTTGGCACACAAGTAGACTATACTAAGATACATAATTCTGTGCATTGGTTTTTATTTTGATGAGTGGCAAGGATCATTTTTCTTTTAATTGCTGATTTAAAGTCTCAAGTCCCAACTGCTACTTTTCTCTTCCTTTGTTTTAAGTATAAACCAGTAGAGCTACAGTCTTGACAGAGACTTCTGGTTTTTTTTAATTTTGTTTATTCCTGTTGTAAAGTTTCAAGTCCCAACTGCTACTTTTTTCTTCCTTTGTTATAAATACAAACCAGTAGAGCTACAGTTTTAACAGAGCTTTGTGGTTTACATTAACCTTCCCTGTGACCTTGACTTTACTATTCTTTATATTTCATATAATTTTAAACAAAGATGTGAGGTACATTTCTTGTTGCACTACTAATGAACTCTTTATGGGGTATTCATAGTAGTATATTGACACATCTCTTCTAACTGACCAGCCTGACCAACTGACAAGGACATTAACAAAGGTCCTGATTTGATATATGTTAGCATAATTCACTTTCTTATTGTCTAACCTGATAAGAAAAATGTCTCAGCTGGACAACCATTTTGTGTGTAACAGAAGAGGAGAAAAATGTAACAGGTCAGACTGGGATTCAAACCTGAACTTAACACTTACCTAAGAAAAAATCATGTTAAGGTCAAAGGAAAGCCAATATAAAAGTTCAAATAAAAAAGTTGATGCAGTTGATCAGCTCTCATCAATATGTATTTAGGAAGGATTGTTTGAAGTATCCTAAAAAGAAAAGTTTAAGGTCTAAAAATGCTGATGCAGATGAATTATAAGCTCTCATTAATATATTTGAGCATGTGAAGTTTGATAACAATATCTGATATTTTCTTTAAAATTGAGCTAAAGACAAACTTAAGTAAAGCGAAATCAAAGGAAAAGTCAAGGTGTAAACATGTTGATGTATCAGCCTATATGGTTAATAATTATTTTTTGAACAGTTTATTTGAATTGAGACTGAACACTTACTAAAGGTATGTGATGTAAATATCAAAGAGAAGGTCGGGGTAAAAAAAATATGTTGAAGCATTCGTTTGAATAGCATAAGATTGATTTTATTGCAAAAGCTAAAAAGCCTCAAAATCAGTGAGTTTTCTTTTGGCCACAGCGAGTTCTTAATATATAAAATTTAAAGGCAAACGCTCAATAGCTTGTTGAGATACTGTAGACGTACTTTTTTCCACGGGGTAATGATTCCGCGGTATCTCAATTTCTGTTTAATCCGCATGTAGAAAATTACACAGATTTTCTAGACTGTCTCTATATGCCTTACATTTATATTAAGTCACTTGGACAAATTTCCAGTGAAAATTTTTGACCGTGTACATAGCGTATATGGAATAAAGTACTTCTACAGTATGTGGAAACAAAAGTGTTAAAACAGACAGAGGTTATGAATTTATGACCTTGATCTTTGATCTCAAATTTTAAAGGGGTCTTCTTTTGGCCACAGGGAGTTGTTATGTAAAATTTCATGCAAAATCTCAAAGGCGCTTTGAGATATATTGCACAGAAATGAAAGTGATAGAGACAGATAGAAAGATGGACTGATGGATGGACAAACCCAAATAAATATCCCTCATTTTTCGTGAAAGCTGGGGAAGAAAAATAGGCCAAGCTGAAGTATAGCTAGCTGATCATGGTATGCTTTATTTGTTCAGATCTTTAGAGAACTTTGTACTCAGTAGTACACTCAGTAATAAGTGTGGTAGAATAGTATGGCCACCAAATTGAATTTTTTGCTTGCTGCACACAATCACTTTCTATCTGATATAGAAATACTGTCGGACCTCGTGGGAAATCTGAAGCATGATTAAATAAGAGTGTAAGCCCCCACAGCATATGCTGTAAAAAAGGCACCAAAACTTACCATGCAGGGGTTGGCTGAGAGAATTTTCAATGACACCATGTTAATTTTTGCTATTTTTCTTAAGTATGTCCCATTGGAAAAGGATTTGGCCTTAATCATGCTATTCATTTGATTTAATTAGAATTCCCTTTGCCAAAGTAAGTTTTATGAACTGGCCCATGGTTCTGATATGATAAAAATGTTTACTGATGACATAAAATATAGGTAGCAGATACAGGTAGATGGATAACTATAAAGGGACACTTTTGTCCTATTAATAATTTGACCCAGGATGTCTTTACATGAATAGTTAACCAACATACATATTCACTGTACATTAACTCAGCCAGCCAAGGGAGACAATCTACTCAATCTGCAAATTGTAACCCTTGCCTACTGCAGATGACATTTACTAAATTACAGATCTAAAAATAATACAAGTCGAAGTTAATAAAGCATTGAAGTACATGTAATTCAAAAATATTGAATTTTGTAGAACTGATATAAAATATAAACAGTGAAAGTCACATGTTCTATATGTACATTGACTACATCCTTACAGAATCAATACAAGGTCACGAGTATGACATCAAGTTCAAAATAAATGAGAAAAGGAAACTCATTTATGTCAAAGAAGTTCTTGGATATAATCAAAGATTCAAGATTGTAATCTATAATTGAGATGAATTCCCTTCCAAAGGAATGTTTAGTAATGTGCATTAGTAAAGGTAATTGCATTATCATGGTATCTTTGGTACACATCTATAATATACTGGTATATAGAATCTTCTAAGTCTGCAACAGTCAGTGTATTCTGCAATCTTGTGAGTTTGGTCTAAATTTGGCTTGCAATACCATGTGAAGTGAATTTGTCCCAAAATCATTATTCTGGATGGGAATAAAGCAGGACCTCTGGTAAAATGGATGTACTAGGAATTAATACAGAAATTTCCTTAGTCCTCACTCAATGGATGTACTAGGAATTAATACAGAAATTTTCTTAGTCCTCCACTCAATGGATGTACTAGGAATTAATACAGAAATTTTCTTAGTCCTCACTCAATCAGGGACTCCAGGGATGTCCAGTGGGTCAATTCTTAAACAACTTAATACTGATGCTTATATTTATAGTCCTCTTTGACCCTGCAGGGGTATAGGGTAATGACATTAGCTCTTCCTTTAATTTTGTTATGAGCAGCAGGATTGAGTTTCCTGTGGAAATTTCAATGTGTCAGTTCTTCTGTGTCCAAGGTCTGGCCTATCCTAGTCATTGCTGGATGTCCTCTTTTCCTTTTGTCCTGTACAGGTTCCAGTCTAAGACAGGCCTTAATGTGATGTTTTGAGGTTTTTGAAGGATAAGAGGATTCCAACACCTTTATTGCTATAGTGTGGTACATGTATCTTCATTCTGGGTGTGCTTGGTTGGTTCTTCAAAGTTGTTAATTTAATGAATTTGAAATTCATTTCTCTCTGACCTAGCTTTTGGGATTTAGGGTTAGACTAAATTAATGATTAAATGAAAAGGCATAACATGTCTAAATCAAAATGGCTTACATGTACTTATAGATATCAAAACAGTGTTTGCATGATGATTAGGCAAGGATAGCAGCAGTTTACTAAACTTGATAAAATTTAACTTCACTGCATGGATATACATAAAAAGTTGATGTTCCAAGATGAGGATAAATAAAAATGAGACTGAATTTTAAAAAAAAACCTTTTAGTCTTAAGTTAGTTTGAACAATATACATGTAGTTGCAAATGCAAATCATTCATATTTCAACAAAAGCATAGACTGAGATGCGAAACATTTAAAATGGTCAGTATGATCATTGAACTATCCTACAAAATCATTGCCCTCACTGTTTATCAATAATGCACTCCTGCTGTATTGACCTCATCAAATAAAATATGATATACTTCATGGAATAATTAATTCCTTTATAACTTGATTCAGATTACACATGTTATAATGGAAGAAAAAGGTATGGTTTCAATACAAATAATGCCCTGTGATTTTCTTAAAAATGAAATTGAAGTAAAAGATGAAAACTCGCACTTTCTGAATCATTGAAATTCCAAGCTGAAAAATCATACAAATTATTTTTCTCACATGCATTTATAAATGCCAATTGTGACATCATAAACATGGGCATTTTCCCATATTAGAGAGGTTTAGCAAGCTCACTTGTACGTGTACATGTACGTGTAAACTACAAGTTAGAATTACACGAACACATTAACATTTTTTTCTTGTTTAGCAAAGTATAATCTGTACTTGTACTTGTAAGTTTTTGAATGTAAAAGAGGTTTATATTTAAAATTCACCCAAAAAAGCAATGATTTTGATAGGTATATGACCATTTTATATAAATATATGCACGTACTTATGAGAAAAAGATTGTACAGATTTCTTATATTTTTAGGTCACCTGAGTAAACTCAGGTGACCTATTGCTATCTGTTTTCGTCCATCGTCATGCGGTGTGCGTCGTGCTTCATCCGTTAACATTTGAACATTTTCAGCTTCTTCTCTGCAACCACTGAACCAATTTCAACCAAATTTGGCACAAAGCATCTATGGGTGAAGGGGAACTAAAATTGTGAATTTCATGGTCCCTGCCCCCCTGGGGCCTGAGGGGTGGGGCAAAAACCACTAAAATTAATGCAATCTTTAAAAATCTTCTTCTTTACTCCTGGACATCAAGCAGTCAAACTGTTTGATGATTGTAATCAGCATTGAGTCCTCTACCAAAATTGTGAAATTCATGGCCCCAGGGTCATGGGTTCTAGTGCTAGGGTGGGGCTAAATAAGTATATAGTGAAATTTCATGAATTCTTTGAAAATCTTCTTCTCTGCTCCTGGGTATTAAATAAACTAACTAAGTGCAAAGTTATGATGAGCAAGATTGCCTCTACCAAAATTGTGAATTTTATGGCCCCAGGGTCAGGAGTTCTGGTGTTAGGGCAGGGCTCTATTGATTATATAGTGAAAATACATGAATTCTTTGAAAATCTTCTTCTCTGCTCCTGGGTATTAAATAAAATAACTAAGTAATAGTTATGATGTGCAAGAGTGCCTCTACCAAAATTGTGAATTTCATGGCCCCAGGGTCAGGGTTCGGGTGTAAGGGCGGGGCTCTATAGATTATATAATGAAAATACATGAATTCTTTGAAAAATTTCTTTTCTGCTCCAAGGAATTAAATTTAAGTACATAGTTATGATTAAGAATATCTCTTCCAAAATTTTGATTTTATGGCCCTAGGGTCAGGGGTTCTAGTGATATGGGGCTCTATTGATTATATAGTGAAAATACATTAAATCTTTGAAAATTTTCTTCTCTGCTCGTGGGTATTAAGCAGATGAACTACCTATTTAGTTATGATGAGCAAGGACCCTAATCTTCCAGAATTGTGAATTTCAAGGCCTCAGGGTCAGGGGTACCATAGGGGGGGGGTGTACTTATATACTGAAACTGGATGAATTGTTTAAGATCTGCTCCTTGGTATTAATCAAATATTTTTGAAAAGCAAGGGTGTCATTTCAAAAATTGTGCAATGTTTGGATTTAGGCTTAAGGGTCAGGGGTTCATGTGTGAAAGGGGCATTATTGATTATTGCTGAATATTACTGATTACTTGAAATGCATTTTTTGTTCCCCAACCCTACCTATGGGTATTAAGTAAACAAACTAAGCAACTGCTATTTGTATTGTTATGATGATCAATGGTGCCTCTTTCAAAATTGTGAACGCCATAGCATCTGGCTTAAAACATGAATCAAATTAAATCACTGGAAAGTTGTTGCATAATGCTCAGGTGACCTATAAGGCCCATGGGCCTCTTGTTAATCAATCAGAGTCTGTTTCGAAAATCTAGATGTTGTGATTTTAATTCCCTATAAATTAATGTTTTTCAATTACTGATGTTCAGTTCTTTTTTCAGTATTTGCATTAAATATTCAAGTTTTAGAGAAACACAAACTTTTTGAAAAATAAACAGCAGTTAAAGAATTATAAGCTACAAGTTTTGACTTACGTGTACTTAGCAATCTACACGTAACCTGCGTAAGAGGATACGTGTAGAAATTCTCTTTAGCAAAAGTGATGACGTAATGCACAGATTTCTGGTGTTACACGTACGCGTACACGTTGGTTTGCTAAACCTCTCTATTTTCTTAAAAAGTTGTAGAAGACACCAATTTTCCATAGAATTTTCTTTCAGATAATATTGTCCACAGTCATCACCCACAAAGATTTTGAGATATGTGATTTTTCATTGAATTTTGCACAACATATCCAAAAAGTAAAGTGAGTCATGGCTGTGGACACTATTTTCTGAAGGAAAATTACCGTTGAAATGGGTAATTTTCAGGCTTTTTCTGTTTAAAGTATAGAGAAATGCATCAAATTAATGACGTCATATTTCCAGAATGGTACTCCTTTATGCCATATTCTTTTCTGATCTATCACAGTCATAAACTCGACTAATTTTTAAGCCAGTTTAAAAACTTTTTGAGAACTTTAAATTTTTAGGGCACGATAAAGCCAGTTTTCTATTTCAAACTAATGATGTTACTTGCATATTGAAAGAACGATAACTCTATTTTTGTTTTCTATTTAGTTTGTGGCCCATCCTAACTGCCAACAGCTATTAGCCTCCCTGTGGTATGAGGGTTTGCCGGGTTTCCGTCGACATAATATCGTATCCAGACTGACCATTACGTTTTTTATAGGACTTACTTTTCCACTGCTGTCATTATTTTACCTTTTAGCACCAAAGAGTCGATTTGGCAAACTTATACGAAAGCCTTTTATAAAGTTTATTTGTCACAGTGCTTCTTATATTACATTCCTACGTAAGTTCATTTACTATATTTATAGTCTATTCTGTTATTTCAATTTAATTATCCTTTAGCTATCCTTGTTCAAATTATAACTAGAATCTGCAATTTGCAAAAATGTTCTTGTACTTCATAAATGTTAGACAATTTTGACTTTTTTTCTTCAAGCAAATGAAATTTGATTATATTTTTATTAATATCTTTATCCTGGTTTGGTATTTGTTGATCTGAGTATTTACTGGTGATAAATTCTTGTTGGACAGTTTTACTGATTTTGGTGTCACAGCGGGTAGAGATTCCCATTCCTGGCTTATCAACCAAAGTGGGATCGGACATAGAGAAGATCAAGTTAGAGAGGAGAGGGGCCCCAGCCACGATGGTGGAGTGGATGATCTTAGCCTATGTAGCTGGTAAAGTGGTTCTCAACAGATTATAAGGGACACCGCTAGAAAATACTTATATTGCATGTTACAATGATAAATTTACTCAGAAATGGAGATTAAAATTTCAAAGTGAATACAATTCGACATCAATAGTGTCAAAGATGAAATTATGTTGTAAGCTCCATATTTTTAAAAATATGATGATTTTAAACATCTATAGAAAAAATAATTATGGATTTCTTTGTTGACTATAATCCTGTGTATAATCTTTCTTTTCCAGGTCTAATATGGACGGAGATCAAACAGCTGTGGGATGAAGGAGCACATGATTATGTCCATGATATGTGGAACATTCTGGACTTTGTTACTAATTCTTTGTACATAGCAACATTCACACTTAGGTTAATAGCTTATTTACAGGTAAGTTCAGCAAAATTTTATAAAGTTCCTGTAAATTAAAGTTAAAATACAAAGATTTCACAGCATAATACAGATCTTCACTATCAAGGGGAATAACTCTTCTTGAACTAAGATCAGTAATTAAAATTTTTTAAACAAAATGGAGCATTGAAACCTACGTGTACATTCTCTTTGTGCAAATCAATACAATAATGATTATTTTCCTACAGGTACAGAAAGAAATAGAAGAAAATAAGCCAAGTGCACAACTAGAAAGAAAAGACTGGAATGCTTACGACCCAAATCTTATAGCAGAGTCTCTGTTTGCAGCAGCCAATATTTTTAGTTCTTTGAAATTGATTTACATTTTTACAGTGAATCCCCACTTGGGGCCCCTACAGATATCTCTGGGTCGTATGATTTTGGACATTATGAAGTTTGCAGTGTTATACGGGTTGGTGCTGTTTTCTTTCGCCTGTGGTTTGAATCATTTGTACTGGTACTATGCAACACTTCGAGAGAGGGAGTGCAGGGAACAGAATATAGAAGAATCCTGTGATCGCAGATATAAAAGATTTGCAAAGTAGGTCTACATCAAGCTAGAGTACAAATGTGTTTTATATAAACTTAAGAAAATGTTCATATCTAAAGAAAACTTACATACGTACTAATGCTGTTTAACTTCATTACATGCTGTTTGTCCTGTTTTTCAAAATATGTACTATAGCTATTTTAAATGTCTATATCTTTTTATATGCCTGTATGCAAATAGCTTTTAGACAATTAAATCTTAAAACCTTAATGTGTAAATACAATTAAATATGATCATAAAAGTGTGTCAACTCTCTTGCAGCTTATTTCAAATTCTGCAGACCCTGTATTGGTCTATCTATGGCCTGATAGATCTGAACAATGCAGAGCTACAGGAGAAGCACATATTCACCGAGTTCATCGGGAAGCTGATGTTTGGTTCCTACAGCTGGATAGCCTTAGTGGTTCTCCTGAACCTGCTCATAGCCATGATGAGTAACTCCTACCATAATACATCAGTGAGTTTTGGAATGATATGTGTGTAATTTAAAAAACGGTAAATTTTCAACCAAATTTGGAATAATGTGTTTTCAATTGTGTACATGCACTTTGGAAAGTACGTACAAGATAAATATGTATTGGAACACCCCTCCTATATAGATAAAAAGTTTGTATTGTGTAATCAAATATGGATGCTGTGATGTCTTTTCCAGAGCCAGGCAGATGAGGAGTGGAAGTTTGCTCGGTCCAAGCTGTGGATGAGTTATTTTGAGGACAGTGGAACGCTCCCACCTCCATTTAACATCATCCCCAGCCCCAAGTCCTTCATCTATCTGATTCTGTGGTTTAAAAATAATCTGTGTTCATGTTCTCTCAACCAGACAAGTAATAGATGGCAAAGTATACGTGTAAGTTTATTCTTTGTGGAATATAAGGAACAGAGTTCAAATGATATTGTGCTTTATATGAGTGCCCATTCTTGTCAAGCTGAACGCCATAGACTCTAGAGCAAAAGTATCCACGAAGCCATGTAGAGCTACAATAGTCTCATAAGTTTAAAGTACCATGTAAATTATTGAATAAATTCAAGTTTATTGACACAATCATGTGGTAAAGAATCTTAAATTGGTTTAAGAATTTTATTGTTGACATTTTCTTTTTTTCCAGAAAATTGTAAAGAAAATTAATGAAAAAGAAATTAGGTATCAGGTATGTTATTATGGAGAAGAGTTTTGTCATTAAATCAAAACAATCTTTAATTATTTAAATACACTATTGCTTTTTACAGTGAAACTTGTCTATTCCAGATGTTTTTTAATCCGAAATCTTGTCTAATATGGTGTAAACTTAAATCACAATGTACCTTATAACAAAAAAAATGTTGTGTGGCACACAGTTTATTAAAAAAGTTTTACTTTTCAGCGTGTAATGAAAGACTTGATAAAAAGATACATCATGCAAAAGCAAAGAGGTCCATTAAGGGGGGAGGGAGTGACAGAGGACGATGTGCAAGAAATCAAACAAGACATATCCTCTTTTAGATATGAACTGCTTGAAATATTACGCAATAACGGAATGCGAACTCCGAACCCCAACCAGCCAAAACCAACCAGTAAGAAGATGCGTTATTGGAAACAACTCTGTGGGGGGCTATCAGAGAGTTTTGATTCCACTCAGAGTCAAAATGGCTTCCCTATGGATTAAGCTTCCTTTTATATCAGTGTTGATCAAAGCAATCCAATGCTTTGCTTGTCTTTTCCTCTCTAGCCTTACAGGGCTACCATATGGATGCAAAAAAGTTGTCAGAGAAAACAAAGTGTTCTTCCATGTTTTTGTAAACAGCATTATTTTTTTCTCAGATATTCACATGGTAGTCCACATTTTCCATACAAGATCTCACTGTAGAATTTATACACTTGTGTTATCTGGCAGTCCAAATTTTTTCTGTCATCCATTGTTTTTGTTTGGGGACAATATGCCAGATGACATTTTCCTCCTACATTTTGTTACCATAGTGATGTTGTGGCTATAAGAATCACTGCAGTGCTTGAATGTAGCTGTTGTCTTCCATTATTTGATGGTCGTGTAGTTCACACACTACCTTTTTTCTGTGATTTTTTGTATGTGATCCAATGATATAAACAACAGTTTTATAAAAGTCCCCCAAGCACTTGGACGACAGCCGATTGGATGTATGAGGAGTATGGAAGCAGGCCCCCTTACACTTCAGGTATAAGCTTGGACATGAAATAATTGGCTTGAAATATATACTTCGTATGCAAGTATTTCACAGGAAAATCCTTCTTACTAAAATCAGACTTGGAATTTTCTTGTGAAAGGTGTGAGATAGTTTCCATATTATGTGTACTAATTATAAAACAATGGCTTGCCATATACTAACAAAACTGACTGCTGTTTATATACTAGTGATTTTGAGGTGTCTTTCTTGTTTACATCTCTTACTTTTTACTTGAGCAACTCATCTTGCTTTGCCAGTATTATACAAGAACTTCAAATATATTTATGCAGAATCTGCTTTCTGCTAATTGTAGATATGGCACGCCAAATTCACAAAAATGAGATAAACATAGTTTCACAGTCAATAAACTAGGTTTATCGGTTGTAAACTATAGTTTACGGACTGTAAACTATAGTTAACAACGTTAATCTATATTTTACATCCGTAAACCATAGTTAACGCGATAATCTATGTTTCACAACCGTTAACTATACTTAACAATGAAAACAACCATTTGCGATTGCAAAACATAGATTATCTGATACATACAGTTTCACGATTTGTAAACTATAGTTTACAAACCGTTAACTATAATTAATGATCTGATAAATATAATTTCATGATTTGTGAAACTATGATTAACAACTCTTAACTTTTTCGATTGTAAACTATAGTTTACAAACGTGAATCTATGTTTATCAACAAAATCTATTGTTAACGCTTATTACAGATAGGTAAACTTAGATTATCATTCGTAAACTATAGTTAACAACTGTTAAATATAGTTTTACAGATGAAAACTATACTTAACGAATCGTTAACTATAGTTTACGGTTTGTAAACTATAGTTTACAGTCGATAAACCTAGTTTATCAATTGTGAAACTAGGTTTATCTCATTTTTGTGAATTTGGCATGCCATATGTAGATTTCTTAGTTATTTTCTCTTTTGTACTAAATTGAGACTAACCATTAATTTTTTTCTCTCTGGGTGGACATCCCTAAGTAAGCTGAGTAAATCTTTCTACTAGAAATTGAAAATGTTGAAATTTCATTTCTATTTAAGGTCCATTGATACTCTGATAAGAGAGATAACTCTTAAAACGAAACATGTCTTTATTAATTTTTGAAGTCAAAATGTCTTTTTGTCCATTTCTATTTTCTACTGCAGAACGATGCAATATTTTCTAAATTGTTTGCAATTTAATTATAAAATGCACTTAGAATTTCTGATAGAATGTCAAACTAACATTTTAAATGAGGAGCCAGCGCTAGAGGACATGGACCTTAAATTTTTATGTATAGTCAAGTGCTATCAGAAAACACCAGAATAATCTTGGAACTTGAATGTTGAAGACAAATCAGCTACAAAGAAAATATGTGATGAAGTTGTAAACCTTACTATGTAGATGAAAGATGAAAGTATTAATTGGTGGTTTTTCATCCATTTGTCATTGCATGGTTTCTTCTCAGTAGAAGGTACAGCATTTTCAGAATGTAGGAATATTTTCAGTATAAGGGAATATTTTCAGTATAAATAGGGACATTTTCAGTTTACCAGTAATTTATAGGGACATTTTCAGTATAAATAAGGACATTTTCAGTATAAATATATAGGGACATTTTCAGTATAAATAAACTTGCTTTGTATGTAGATTTCAAAATACAATATTTGCCAGTATTCAACATTGCAAAGTGCTTCAAGTTGAACTAGTTTTGGCCTAAGTCAAGTATCAGGTATTTCAGACTCAGAATTTAGTAAGAGCAATGTTGATTCAGGTGAGCTTTGTGACTTCTTGTTTCTAGTCTGTACTTCTGATATAAATTCGCAATAATGTCTCTAAATTTAAAAAAAAATGCAATTCGTATATAATAATATGTGTAGTGCCATATATTTTTTGCTGCTTGTAGAGGTTTTTTCTCTGACATTAGATGTACTATTTTTCTACCTTTTTTTCCCGCTTTTTTGAACACTGTGTTTTGTTGTCCTTTGTTGCAAACTGATAGAAATTAAACTGCCTGGCTTCTCACACCACTCTATGTTGTAAAAATTTTTTTTCTCTTCATGTAAAATTCTTTTTAATTGAAAATATAAATTTATCATTTCATAACCTAAATACTATCTAGCAATTAATGTTTTGAAAGGAGTTTATTTGAATAGCATATTATCAAAAAAGAATTGTATTTGTTTACTTTATTTCCCTTGCAGATCGAAGATCTTGCAGACGGCGCAACCAAGTCAACTTAGAGAGGTTAAAGAGGTCAATCACCATGGGAACAATCAATGAGACACACAACAAAAACCCTCCCCCAGATTACACCTCCCTGGATAAATCTTCACAGGTCAAGGCCTCAGAAAGGTCAGAAAAGGACAATACATCTGTGTCTTTTCTAGAAAAACCAAATCATCTTCGTCGCCGCAGTCCAAGGAGGGGTCTTGGTGCCCTTCGTGCAGATGAAGGACTTGGAGAGTCCTTAGACCTGAACATTGAAAATGAGAACAGCCCAAAGTTAGAGCATCGCTCTACTGTGGGGGATCCAGGAGGGGTGAAGGAGGGACTGGCAGCTTGTTTGAACCCCAGCCTGGCCTGTATTAATCCAGAGCCCATTGGCACTTGTAGTGAGGATCCCAAGTCCCCCGCTAGGCGTGTAACATTCTTATGATTGTACTTAAATAATCCCAAATCCCTGGCAAGCCATGAAGCATACTTATGACTATATAGTGATGCTCCCTAATCCCATGTAAGGCCTGTAACATACATGTACTTATGACTATATAGAGATGATCCCAAATCTCCCACAAGAATGGCTGTATAGTGACGCTCCCTAATATTCCCCACACAAGGGAGGCAACATTCTTATGGCTGTACAGAGTTGTTCCTTAACTGTGGATCATTTTCATTTCTAATGGTCAAGTTGTAATTTTATGGTTTTGGGTGTCCATAACAAATGGACCGCCCACAAAATGTAATGATTCCACAGTAAATGTGTTTAGTGTGATATATTGTTTTTTATGTGATTTGAAGGTATGTAGTGAGTTTTAACTGACATATTAATGATGCTGTGTTAAGGTTCAATAAAATGAATACTGTATACAGGGTTATTTTCACTCATGTTATTTTTGCCCTTTCACACTTGTAAATATTTTTGCCCCATTTTAAATTCACCCAGTCATAGTTTTGTTTAAGAAAATATACTGTTTTCTTTGAATTTGCCTTATTTTAAATTCACCCAAATGAGGGTAGGGCGAAAGGGGCAAAAATAAAACGGGGGCGAAAAATTTCCCAGTATACAGAATCTTTTCAATGCTGCATTTGTGATACCGAGTTACTGAACATTTTTGATAACATCGTTCTATTGATGTTCACTTATTTTTTCTGAATACACTGAATTTGTTTTTTACTTTTAAGGAAATCATTTGTTTATCAGGTAGCAATGATGTCCTCTTTTCATATTGTTTTTTACACCATAATGCTAACACATAATGGTACTTGTATTCTTATTATTTGGGGGGGGGGAATTCCTATTTGATTGTACTTCAGTAGTTATTGAATAATGAATTTGAAGCAGATATAAAATAGTGATGAGAAATGCCTTTCAGTGGTTTATTTTATTTTTACAGATCTGTTCCATACATATAGTTCCATAGGTTGTATACCTGAGTAGCTTTTAAGATGGCAAGGTGTCTGTTACACTGTATCTGTATTTCGATATAATGGGTTAACTTGTTATATCAAATAAATTTTATCCTTACCTGGTCAGCCTCTCTGGCTTTCTGGCTTAGGGTTACTAAATAATGACAAAATACATCAATATTTTGAATACCATGAATTGGTAATCTGAACTTCTTTTTTTTTTCATTTAAACTTCAGAGGTTATCCCCCCTTCCACACATACACACACACACACACACCCTCCCTCACCAACACCACCCCAAAGTTCATATTATTTTAAAGTTCTTCAACTTTTTCTTTCACCTTGAGTAAAGCTTTGTGAAAGTTTTAAAAAATCAGGGATTCTAAATGAAATACTCACTTTTAATTTGTTTATATAAATTAAGTTGATAAATAGATGAAACCAGTAGAGCTACAGTTTCCTCGGAGAGTTTTGTTTACAATTAGACCATTGGACTAACATGCATTGAGAGATTACTCTCTTTTGCATGAAGGAAAAAACTGTCATAATTGTGGTTATAAATGAATTTATGATATATATTTCAGTTTTATTTTCCATCCCACCTAAATAATTTAATTTGATGTTTTCTTCTCACTGGCATTAGACATTGATTTTTTGAATATAATGAATGTAATGTTTGTTAGTGTTTGATTTCTGTGATCTCCAAAAAAAAACCCAAGTACTTGAATTATTTATAACTGCACCTAGTAAAATTATATCATATGTATTTGTCATACATATTCTTTTATTTTCATCATTTGAAATGTTCATAATACATATATTTATTACATTTGTTATACTTTCTCATATTGCATACATTTTACAAAGAATTTCCATATGTTCAAAGAATTTCCATATAATCTTATAGCAAATTGTCCTGGATTATTTTTATTCATTTATTTATTTTTTTTTTTTTTTAGTTTTCTAAGAAATTCTTTACCATATTTATATTTTAAGTTATTAGCATTGCCTCAGGTTGAGACTCAATATTTCAGACAATAGATTAGGATTTAAGGAAGATCTGAAGACATACTTCTCATTGAAGAGTTCTTTTATGTAGTTAGAGTAATTTGACATAGATTTTAAGAGAAATGTAAATTAATTATTAAAGATCCAATTTAAAATTCACTAGGTAGAGTTACTATTATATAATCCTATTTTCCCAATGTAATTTTTAAAATTTGATTTCTGAACTCTTATAATTCAATTTCTTTTTATTAAAATCCTGGAAATACAAGGCAGGTACTATTTTGTTGAAATTGAACTAGATAAATTAAGTTTGTGCAAAAGCCTTTTTCTGATGTGAATTTATTAAAGTCCATTAGTGTTTATAGTTTCCTAAAGTATGGTACATGTTCAGATTTGTCGATAAGATTTGCATCTCTGGGCATTTTGGCATGCAGGTCTTTGTTGACATGTTTTTATGTATCCATTAATTATTCGGGCATTTTAAAGTTTTTATGGTTACACAGGGAGATCAGCAATCATAAAAATCTCTATAACCTTAAAGAGCATTAGGTTTTACAGCTGCTCATATTAGTGTAACCGTCACATTTATCTTATTTTTTGGTGCTATTTTTTCTTTTCATTTTTGTTTTGTATGCGAGGAGAGGATTTAAATTGATACTGATGTTGATGTACTTTGTACTGTTAATGATGTTTAGATATGCTCAACTTGATAGTTTTGAAACAATAGATTGTTAATTCCTCTTGTTGTTTTTATTTCTTGCTTTGGTTTCACAACAATGTAGAAAAGAAAAAGAAAAGGAGCCAAAAAAGAAGGCTTAGAGTAATGGTAATTCATGCTTGATTACCTTATTAATAAATATAACTTGTTTTCAAACTGAAATTTTGAAGGAAAAAAAATTTAAAAACGTCAATCAGCATTGTAAATATTTTATTTGCTGAAGAATATGCAAAATGTTGACTTTAAACGAGAGGGATGATGCCTTGTATCATCAACTTATTTATGAATAGCTTGTTCAAGGCAAGAACTCTGGCATATCAAATCAACTGGGAGAGGTGATCTATATATATGAATAATAATGGCATAGTGTACATATAAATAAGGGGAAGTAGACAATAGAAATATTAAAGTCATTGCTATCGTGAAGTTTTGATGTCATTCATCAGCAGATTGTCTCATATTTTTGCATCATCAGATGTTCTTCCAGGAAGAAGAGACCGGTTTACTAAGAGTACTGTTTTATATGCTGATTATGCTCATGCACTAAATGTTGTGTAGTCTGATGACAGTGATGAATGGGTCAGGAGTATGTGAGCACTGAAAAGTACAAACAAATAAACAGATCTCGTATTTTGAGTTGATGCAGCATGTAGAGTGCTAGACTATTTCATTATCCCCAATCGTCTTAGTCTTTTAAAACATCTTCATCTATCTGTTTACTTTTTTTTATATAAAAGTAGTAGAGATTCTTTACAAGGTTGACGTGTACTCAGGTGACCAATAAGGTCCTAGGGCCTCGTATTAAAAATAACCAGCTGAATGAAAAGGAAATCCCGTATACTTGCTGACTTCATGTAACTTCCTGTTTCGACATGTGGAGTCCACGTGTAATATTTGAGGGTAGGTGTTTACAATTATTTTCTGAGAAAATAGGCGACATTAAGAGAGAATCTAGAGCTACTGATTAATGAAAACTATTAATATTTTGAGTACAAAAGAATTTCTCTGATTTGAAAGTATGGATGATGGCTGTGTTTGAGTTATATATCAGCTTATATATATATATAATTTCATTAAACAAAACATGCACAAAACACGTGAACAAAAACACTGCATATATCGCTCCGCTAATTTATAACTATATTTCATGTATTTTAAAACAATTTTATTCAATTGACACTTCATTTATAAGAAAAGCTTTGTTTTAAGATGTAAAAAGTTTTTTTTTTAAATGGAACATACAAAAAAGGAAGATATTTCTACTTTTTGTAATATTACATGGTTTATATTACATTTATACACCATTTCAATGATGATAACCCCACCCCACCCCTCCCATCTTTTTTCAAAGCAAAATGTACCGTATATATCCCCTGAAGATTACTGAAACTTTTTGCAATAATTATATATTTTCAATATTTATTGCAAACAAGTTACATATAGTCGTTTAATTGCAACGTTTAGTGCTCTGACGTGAGGTGATGCGAAGTCAAGACAAACCCTGGTACTAGGTCAAGTGTCATTATAACTAATTCTGAACGCCATTCACATCTTCTGTTGATGATAATCCGGCATTGTAACATGTGCTTTCGTTTACACATTATTCATTGGAATAACAAGATGTGTATATGAAACACTGATGCCCCAGTAAAACAGCTCATGACGAAGGTTGGTGTTTTTAGATACGAGTCAAACCACAAGGTCAAGGTTAAATAAAAACGTTAACACCCTTGGGCAAAGAATGATCTTCACATAGAATACATCTCATGATCTGTGATATATGAGAGTCCTTACATCATTCGTTCAAAACATATGACCGTGGTCATTTTTTTTTTCTCAAAGTCAGTCTCCAAGGTTAAGGACAAAAGGTCAAACAGAACTGTTGGTACTCAGGAGAAATTCTTACCAGATGGAATACACTTGTGAAAAAGGTCCTAACTTCAACATTTCACAAGTTATCACAAATATTCAAGATTTTTTTTAGTGTAGGTCAAACATCAAGGTCAAGGGTAAAAGAACAAAGTTGTCGCTTTTTAGGTCTTGTCACACAAAATACACGTTTGAAAGATGAAACCCATAAAATCAACTTTTCAGAAGATATAGGCAGAGTTAACGTTTTTCAAAAGTAGATAAAAGGTCAAAATTGTTTTTACCCATGGGAAGGTTTGTCACGAACGCCTTTGAAATATAAAAGTCCTAGCACTAACCGTTAAAAAGTTTTTAAAAGGACATGAGATGACTGGTCAAAAATCAAAGATTTTAAAAGGGTTTATTCTTAGCATCAAAAATTAAAGAAGGCGTTGTCTTACGAAAAACAATGTGGAATCCTTGAAAAAAAACGTACAAAACTTGTGGCAAAGGTTGAATTTTGAAAAAGCAAGTCAAACTTAAAGGTCAAGGTCGAAGAGTCAAAATTTTTGGTACCCATGGATTGATTGTTATGTCCCTCTCGAGACAACACCGCGCAGCCGTTTGAGGGCTGCAAATTTTCACCAACAAGTGTATACTCGGCACTCTGGGCCATTGAGCAATGAGAAATCTACTGCGACTCGGGACCTCGGTTAAGACTGTCTCATCTGAGGGACGGTCTGTACGTCCCACACTGTATTTGAACTGGAGACGTAAGGATCAACTATTATACCCCGCAGCTCTAAGGCATTATACATTGTATATATTTTAGTTCTTCTATATATTTATTTCAGTTGTTTTATTCTACTTACTAGTAATGAATCAAAGTACTCAGAATGCTTGTGATATCATTGCTTACATGAATTGTTTATATTCTGATGAAAAAATTATTTTAAAACTATCAATATAAATTAAGACGCTGACAGTGAGAAATTTTTCAATCCTAATATTGTAGAATCAGAATTTTAATCTGGTACCGCAGCTGAATGTAAACAAACAGGCCAGTCTGGTTCCCTTTCCTGCTTTAATCGTATGTTAGAGAATACGGTAAACTGATTATCAAAAATCCTTACTAATGAACTATGTTCTTTGACTTATGAAGTTTTCAAAGTCATTACTACTAATGTTTGTTTTATATAGATAAAATTTCGTTTTATTTTTGTTGCTTTATTTAGCGTTTGTATTATCTCAAAAGCGGTTGAGAGTAAGAACTATATTTTTGCACGTAACTTTAAAATGGCGACTATGGGGTCAACATCCTGCCTTGAACAAGATCACATAAGCCGGCAATTGCTCTTTGAGCAATAAGCCCGGCTAAAAATGCTTGTGATATCATTGCAAGACATTGCAGATCACTTCTAATTCCATATCATGCTAATACAAATTAGTATCTAATGATATACATGAAAAGAAGTTCGATTACTATAAAAATGAATTAATTTTAATACTTTTGTGGTGTACAAATATCAACTTTTTACAATATCAATAGTATGATTTCATAGAATCTTGAACCGTATTGGGATGCATTTAATGAAAATTGATTCAGGGAAATATTTCATTATCAAGCTTCATTTTGAGACTTTAAATTAAATATTTTATTTTAGAGTTATCTATCCTAGCTGTGTATCGGATCTCCTTAACGTTTATTAACTGGCATTATCAGTTCAAAATTTTTTTTACCAAGGTTTAAGTTTGGTAAAATTTTGCAAAATAGGTAAAAGTCGGGCTCCAAGGCCAACACTATATACTTTCTTCTACTTAAAATTAACTTCATAGTCTTGGGTGTGCTTTTATGCTTCTAGAAATGTTGCTTTGAAGATTGATGATGTTGACCAATCGATTATTACAACAGCTATTAATTTTTATAATCCATATCATTTGTGTTTTATTTCTGTCCTTTAAGGAACCGTTAAAATTGGATGCTGATTACAGATTTTCATATCCGTCTTAAGTGGAAAAAACATTTATCATGTTGCACTGTTCATAGACTGGTAGGATCTCCCTCCTTCTCGGGATATCAAACCTTCACACACTGTTAAACATATGATATCTAATATGGATTTTGTCAGAAATATTCATTTGACTAAACCGTTATTTTTTCGTACAACAATAATGCTCGTTCGTGTTTAGGATGAATCCATTGGCCACATAAAGCGTCCATCCTATCTGTCCTAGACCTCCTCTCCGTCTTTTGGTTGTAGGATGTGTTGGCCATATTTTCACGAAGGCCTTATACACAGAAAATAGGAATTCTTTCAGAATTTCGAAAATATGTAAGGGTGCACGCTGTAAGGAAATTTTAGAAAATTAACCAAACTCAGTCCAGTTTTAGAATGTAAAGCGTCAAAATAGACGATTTCGATACTCTATACAACCACTCGGACTCCTCACTCGACACCAGCCCTTTTCAGGTCATCGATTACTACCTCTTCATTACAAAAAAAAAATGCCCTTTCTACCTGATAACATGCAAACTCGTTTTTCACTAAATACATTCTGGTTCTACACACAAGAAATCCAATGTTATTTTTTAATTTTGTATCCCTGACAATATTTATCTTATTTGGATGTATTGGCATTCCCGTGGGTACTAATTGTGCTCCGTTATTAGCAGATCATTATTATCAGACACATGATCTCGAAATAGTCTTAAACTATGGTCAGAAGTTAAGATAAATATTATTATTTAATATTAACAGCATGAAAGACATTTCAAATTTCATGATTTTTATAACAAAATTAAGTTACAATTTAGTCTACTAAAATGATTCATGATTCTGGGGACTGAACTCAAAATGAAAGACGCTAGTGTCTGACACAACAGTTTGATTGGATATTTTACCAGTAAAAGACCCCCCCCCCCAGTAAATACGTCTTTAAATCAATATAATGAATTCTATGCGTTTCTATAGATTATATGGTGTCGATGACAATTGACTGAACTTTGTGATAAACGTGATTACTTCAAATTTTCATTTATAGACGTCCCTTTAATCTTATATTTAGTAATATACCGTTATTACTTGCAAATGGAGTTTGTCTCCAGTTAATTCGACATTCGTGAGTATATTTAATGTACCAAAATTTCTTAGATGAGACAAGCTATTGACAAATAAGTTAATTATACCAGAATTTTCAGAATATAGTTTCACCTCAAAATTTCGCAAATTCAGCTTCTCACACTATCCATTGCCGATGCAATGACAATGTTTGCAAAATACAGCCTGCCGTCGAAGGATGACTCGAATTGTTAGACCATTCTTTTAGATTTGTGTGGTCAACAGATTTATTCGTTCACTCAACCGTGAAAAGTAGTCACGGCGGCTGTGACAAGACGACAAGGGAAGGTTACACCTCAGTTATCACAGGTCCATGTTAATGACTTAGCTCACGATTTGACTTTTTTAAATGGCTCTATTTCTTGACAGTCCATATTAATGAACAATGATGTCAAGTTCATATTCTAGCATTGGAACCCTTTATTTCTGAAAAGAATTAAGTATGTTGTTTCTGTCTTATGTAAGTGTGGCAAAAGCTATCTCAAAAAGTCTTGACAATCAACTGCTAAAAATAAGCAATTAACACTGAATTACATGTATGGAATACATTTTTTTTCATTTAAAAAGTTTGCCATTTCTTCCAAAGATTCTATAGTCAGAATAATGCGTATCTATACAAAAGGTTTAATCCTTGCTCATGATGAGCGGTGAGTTGTAAATTAACTTTCTGACCAGTCTAAAGATGTAAGTTCATCGTGTATTACATCTCGTCTTCCTATGGGGAAAGGAAACGCATTTTAAAAACAACACAATGATTCATGGTGTCTTTAAAAATAAAGTGATAATGACTCTCCTAAACTACTACAACCTGACAGGTACATGTAAGTTTAAGTGTTAAAATTACTTTATTTTTCCTTATCTACGTCATGTTGCTTACTATTGTTCGGTTTCTGTCATTTATCTCTTCCATGTCATGTGACATTTAACTTCCATAAATCATGTAGGTGTCGCTGTACCTCGTTAATGAAACCAATAGAATTAATACGGGGAAATACGAGGCTGGGCTGCTGAATAATTTAATGTCAAATGTGTCCAGACAATCAGTAGATGTATACTGAGATCATCTCAGTGTTATCACCCTGCATTAAAGGGTGCTTTTTTGAAAACATTTTTTACGAAAGTACTAAACACTACCCACAGAAATTCGATTTATAATTCTTTTTGTTGTTTACTTTCTGCATTATCAGACATGCGGGGTAATTGTGCAATGCGTCAGCAATTGATGATAAAATGAATTAGTAATATTACTATTAAATCTTTACTTTTAAAGTTATATACAGCGTATTTGCTATTAAAAATGCAATCCCAAAAAAATTTCTTTAATTAATTAAATTGCATACAATTTGATAAAATTAATAAATGTACTGAAATGGAATTTCATCAGGATCTTGTCATGTCGTCGTCCTTGAAATGGATTGTTAAAGTTTTACAACGACTTAATTTTGTTTCTTTAATAATATCTTTCGTTTAATGTTTCAACAATTTAAAAAGTGAACCAAGTAAACTAAAGTGATGTGATCAATCAAAAAATGACGCAGAGCGCCGGTTCAGTGACTCGGTTGGTCGAAAGTCCGACAGACAGAGGTAAGCTTTATGCGGTCATAGATATTGAATTTAATCCTACTGTAGATATATTTATATCAAATGAAATACACAAAGGGGTAATCAACGTGTAGCAATGATACTAATTATTTGATTTCGAAGTAATATCTAATGAAGTAGTTAAAAAAACGTGATAACGGTTCAATAAAAATGGCTAATATGAACTTTGTAAGATCGATGCGTTCTTTTATTCTTGACGAAGGAAGTCGAATTAAACTTTTCTTGTCAATATTTACGTCAATTTATTGGGTCTGTAAATATCTTATTTATACATTTTTCTGGAGATAATTTTTTATAAATGTATTATTGATGAATATTTTATTCTTAGATATGCAATACTAGTGTCTGTTGGTATTTTGAGATCCTGATGTAGGAAAATTTAAAATTTAATGACTCTAAGTAAAATTTTACTGTTTGGCAGGGACCCGGTACTTACTACTTGTATATATATATACATGTATATACACTGCATAGATGGTATACATGGACATTTTTCAACAAAATCGAATGTTTGTTTCTTTTATAGGAAGGTATTATGGAGGGCTTAATTAGAGTTGGAATCTCCGTTTCGCATCAGTAAATTTATTCCATTTAGGATCGGGAAGTAGTCAAATTAACTATATTATTCATCATATTTGTTTATCAGAACCAGAGGGTAAAATGTGAATCATTCAAAAGATAAAAGCATTCAATTAAAATAATTTTGAATACTTAATGAAAAAAACTATTTTATACGTATATATAACGTTAGAGTCTGTTTTTTAAAATTCCCTTGTTATCTGAAAGATTCGGGGGAATGGTGTTTGGGATGTCCGTCTGTCTGTCCTTTTCTATCATCTTTTAATGGTTAGTGTCACAGATTCTCTATTCCTTGTGACTATTTCGTATAATGTAGACTTTGTGTTAGGTCTGTGCTCAATTTTATATGAAAGTATATCTTCAAAGTATGTTAAAAAATAAACATTTTCAATATTTAAAAAAACATGGAGCAAAGACCACTCTACCTTGATATGCCCTTTAGTGACTTTCTGAGAAATGTCCAATTATCCAAGGGTCATGTCAGCGCAATAACCTGTTACGAACTTTGTGGTGTTGTGGTCAGCGTTTCATTTCTGAGACAATTCTTCGCCTCAGTTCAAACTACATAAATTTCTTATTTATCCATAAACCATACATTTTGCGAAGCTTTTTCGTCCATCATGCGCAGTTCTGATTTGATTGTAGAATTTTTATATTTTACCCTTGTATTCCTTGTGACCTTTTTTTTTTGGCTTCAATTTTTGAACTCTTGACGCTTGAAGGTTTTACCTACTTAAAATAAACTTGATCTCAGTTAGAACTTCTGAACTTTGAGTGCTAGGACTTGCATTTTCCCCACGTGTGCACGTTGTGACAAGACCTGTCTTTTGGGTCATAATGATATTTTTTGAAAATTTTCCTTGATTAATGAAAACGGCCTACTTTACCTTGGCCATTAGCTGCCAAATAGGGGTATCAGTATTTTACAAACACATCCATTTTTATAACCCCTCCCACCCCTAATCGTAGAATCGGTGGTATTTAGAATGGTTAATTTACAATGTTCAACTGTCTGTCTGTATGTCTGCTAGAAATTTAACCTTGCCAATAACGTTTGATCTCTTTTTTGTGCATGGCTTTCATATTTCAGGCACGTAGCATCGATTTTGAAAGGGGGGGCCAGCCACAGAATTTTTTTTTTACTTGCCTGAAAAAGTTGACAAGCAAAAAAAAAAAAAGGAAATTGCCGAAAGTCGAAAATCCTATTTCGGGGGGGGGGGGGCAAACTTTCTTCACTACCAATTCCTTTCAAATATCCATTTTTTAAGCTTACAATACACTATTTCCATCATGTTACTTTACTTTAGTATAAAGTTGGGGGAGGGGGGCAACCAGCCTTTCAATTAACATTTTCAATAGTAAAAGTATTGTTGGCAAAAAAAGTGTTGGGGGGGGGGGCAGGCCCCCCCTGCCCCCCCCCCCCCCCGTTGCTACGTGCCTGTATTTTACACGTCACAAGGACGATCCCTTTCTTTAGTATTTTTATGACCTATTGTTAGAGGTCAGGATTTGTTCTTCTGTCCATTTGTATTGTTCCAATACTTTTGAGTTTAATTACCGTTCCTTTTCTCCATATTTCATTTAAAAGCCAGCTTGAAAGTTTGTGATGTTATCAATGAAGAATCTGAGATAACTTGATATAACTGTGGGTGCTGGTGTTTGTTCTGGTGTATCTTTGGGTGCTGCTGCTTGTTCTGATGGATGCATCTTTGGGTGCTGGTGTTTGTGCTGATGTATCTTTGGGTGCTGGTATTTGTGCTGATGGATGAATCTTTGGGTGCTGGTGTTTGTTCTGATGCATCTTTGGGTGCTGGTGTTTGTTCTGATGAATCTTTGGGTGCTGGTATTTGTGCTGATGTATCTTTGGGTGCTTGTGTTTGTTCTGATGCATCTTTGGGTGCTTGTGTTTGTTCTGGTGTATCTTTGGGTGCTTGTGTTTGTTCTGGTGTATCTTTGGGTGCTGCTGCTTGTTCTGATGGATGCATCTTTGGGTGCTGGTGTTTGTGCTGATGTATCTTTGGGTGCTGGTATTTGTGCTGATGGATGAATCTTTGGGTGCTGGTGTTTGTTCTGATGCATCTTTGGGTGCTGGTGTTTGTTCTGATGTATCTTTGGGTGCTGGTGTTTGTGCTGATGCATCTTTGGGTGCTGGTATTTGTGCTGATGGATGAATCTTTGGGTGCTGGTGTTTGTTCTGATGCATCTTTGGGTGCTGGTGTTTGTTCTGATGTATCTTTGGGTGCTGGTATTTGTGCTGATGGATGAATCTTTGGGTGCTGGTGTTTGTTCTGATGCATCTTTGGGTGCTGGTGTTTGTTCTGGTGTATCTTTGGGTGCTTGTTTGTTCTAAGCTTAGGTTTCTTTGGGTGTTAATGTTTATGTGCTGGTGTTTGTGTGCTGATTTATGTCTGAATGCTGGTTTTATTGCAAATATATCTTGGAGTGCTGCTGTATAAAGCTTTGAGTGTTGTTGTATGTGTGGCTGTATATTGGATGTCGTGAAGGTGTGTGAAGATGTTTCTTTTTTATGTCATTGGTTGGTTCTGTGTGTGCACCTATATCTTAATGCTTCATGTATGTGTATATTTTTATATTTTGATCTCGTACTGTAATTGAAACCTTCCCATACCAAAGCCTGTCATAGACAATTAGTTTTTAGTTGTAATACATTTGGGATTAAGTTCCATATACATGTATTTACTTTACGTCTTAGCTGCAAACTAAATTCCGATTTATGGATGTCCTTTTATGTGATTTATTGTGAACATGGTAATAAATTGTGTAAAGGTTTAAGAAAATACGATAAACTATTATGCTTATGCACTTTAATCAAACCGTGTGTTAATGCTTCATTTATCGGTTCATTTTATTTATCAGACGAATATGCATTGAAATTTCTTTAACTTGTATTTTTTTAATACAAAAAATTAAGTTTTTAAAAAGGATTCTTCTTAAAGTGTTAATTGTTAACATAATAAATTTTCAAGTATGGATTAGTCTAAACTATGACTTAAAACCTTAAGTTTATCATTTACATTTTAATTTGTTAATTACTATGTACTTCAGAGCCTAATGGGCTTTTAATTCAGTATTTGCAATTACACAGTTTATTGAGATAAATGAGTTCCTATAAATTCAATTAATGATTGGATTGATTGTTTTAGTGAAGGAAGGCAGATGGTAAAAAAATGATACTTGTCATCTTGCCCAGTGAAAGCAAGTTTGAAAAGATATGTATTCTTAATTAAGCAATTTGCTATCAAAGACCTCCAATTATCACTTTGAAAAATAGTTGAATATTTGAACAATAATATAATTATTAAATACCTAAGATATCGTTTATTTTAGATTTTAAACATATTAGATATGATAAAAAGGAGGCACCCATTCTCTATCCATCTTGAATAAAGGTCTCTCCCGAGACAGAAGATTTGTGTTTTAATGGTCGCCATGCTTATTTTTGGAAAGGATATTCTTATCCACCCATTCTGTTGCCGAGATATGACAATTTCTCACAAGTAACAGCTTTTTAAAAAGCTTGCCTGACTAAATCAATCAATTTATCTGCATGAAGAGTGATAAACCTTTTGAGCAATACTTTTGTGGGTTTAAAACATATCCAAACTTTATATTTTGAGAACCTTGTGTAATTGAAATCTTGATTTGTTAGCTCTACTGGTTAGAGACCAGAAGAGCTTCTGCGATAGTAATGCGTCCAGCGTCCGTCCGTCTGTCTGTCTGTAAACAATTTTTCAAAATGCTACTCCTCCTACAGTTTTGGTCTGATTTGGCACACGAATAGACTACACTAAGATACATTATTCTGTGTACCGGTTTTTCAATGAACGGTGTTGCCGTGGTTGCTAAAAATAGAAATTTCTGTGAAATTGATTCAAAATGCTACTCCTCCAACAGTTTTGGTCTGATTTCAGTATAACTTGGCACACAAGTAGACTACACTAAGATACATTATTCTATATCGGTTTTCGATTTTTATGAACGGTTTTGCCGTGGTTACTAAAAATAGAAATTTCTGTGAAATTGTTTCAAAATGCCACTCCTCCTACAGTTTTGGTCTGATTTGAATATAACTTAGAGCACGAAGTAGACTACACTAAGATACATTATTCTGTGTACCGGTTTTTCAATGAACGGTGTTGCCGTGGTTGCTAAAAATAGAAATTTCTGTGAAATTGATTCAAAATGCTACTCCTCCAACAGTTTTGGTCTGATTTCAGTATAACTTGGCGCACAAGTAGACTACACTGGGATGCACAATTCTGTTTACTGGTTTTCGATTTTTATGAACGATGTTGCCATGGTTACTAAACATAGAACTTTCTGTGAAATACTTTCAAAATACAACGTTTCCTACAGTTTTGTTCTGATTTCAATATAATTTTCCACAGAAGTAGACTACACTAAGAAACATTACTAGTATTCTATATTATCATTTTTTTAAATTTTGATGAACAATATTGCCTTGGTTACTAAAGATAGAAATTTCTGTAAAATACTATCAAAATATTATCCTAAATACAGTTTTAGTCTGATTATAATACAATGTGGCATGCAAGTAGATTACGCTGAGAACATAAAGAGACTTCATCAAGGATCATTATTCTTAGACTATTTATTGCTGTTGTAAAGTTTCAGTTCCCAACTTCTACTTTTCTCTTTCTTTGTATTCTATATTATCATTTTTTTTAATTTTGATGAAAAATATTGCCTTGGTTACTAAAGATAGAAATTTCTGTAAAATACTATCAAAATATTATCCTAAATACAGTTTTAGTCTGATTATAATACAATGTGGCATGCAAGTACAGAGATTACGCTGAGAACATAAAGAGACTTCATCAAGGATCATTATTCTTAGACTATTTATTGCTGTTGTAAAGTTTCAGTTCCCAACTTCTACTTTTCTCTTTCTTTGCTAAGTAAAATCCAGTAGAGCTTCAGTCTCGACAGAGTTCTTGGTTTAACTTGTAGAAGAATCATCTCTACACCGTGGTGGTGGTGGTGGTGGGGGGGGGAGGGGGTCTGCAAGTGGAGTGACCTGCCTTTGGATCGAAATTGATTTCAAGCTACATTGTAACACCTATTATAAAATCTGTTGTCAAATCATGCATTGTAAACATTTTAAAAGATGGATATAATTAAATACACATTTTGCTTGAGTGTATTTAATTAAATACACATTTTGCTAGAGTGTATTTTCTCCTCTGAAGTAAAGAGTAGTAACGGGTGTTCATTATTTTTTTTTCTTAAAAAGGGGGGGGGGGGGGAAGTGACACTATCTTATATTGAGAATGAAATAAGTAAATTCAGTATCTAGGCCTTTGTGAAAAGAAAAATCCAAGATTTTTCACTGCTTTCTTATTTATTGTGTGCATCTGAACAGAGCCATATAATAGATCAGACATCTGCATGCAGACGATTGTTTATTTTTATTGGACCAGTCCATTAATGCAATAAACAAACCGCGGGATCGAGAAACAAATAAGAAAAAATCATTTCTTTAGTGTTGCATGTCAAAATCAAAGTACTGAAAGTACTGTTAGACGGAGGCTTCATGTATGCGAGAACACAAAAGAAATATATATGTCATACATTGCTGTAAAGAATATTATGAGAAATAATGTGTAGGTTTTTTTTCAATTCAACATTTTTTTCAAAGGATACTCCAATATTCATGAGGTTTTTGGGATATTATAATTTCATCTTTGTAATGTAAACTTCGCCTTGATTAAAGTTCACTGTTATTTAGATGAGATACTTTCAATATTAAACCTTTCAAAGTAAGAAACAGTAATTGACTAGGCCTGGTTGACATAAAACTTAGACAGGCTAACTTTTTATCCCAGTCTCACTTAAGGAATATATAGTGGAAAAGTGAGACTGAGATCAAAAGTGAGCTTGTCTAAGTTGTATGCCCCCAGGCCCGGTTTGATGAATGTAGGTTTAGTATGTTCTAGTCATGAGCCCACTGGCGGAATTAAAAGGGGCCCCTGGCCCCCTCCCTTTTGAGTCCAAAAAATACGCAATATTTGATAAATGAGTGTTTTAATTGTGGCTGTGGGCCCCTTCCCTGACCTCAAACTGGTCCCCCTATTTCAGAATTTCTGGATTCAGCACTAGGCCTCAGCCTGTCAGGAGTCTCCATATTTCAAGATATCTTATTTATAGGTCACAGAGACCTACTGTTAACATAATTATGACATGTAACAGCTACCAAAATCAAAATTTCTCGGCCTTATTGTAATAATGTTATGATATGAGCTAACATGGAAAAAGAAGCAGCCAGGTAATTGGACATGAACAACATAATATAGTACAGTTTGTCTTTAACCTTTGTGATACAAAATGGGGTGACCTAGCTTGAAAGCAACACAGAATTTTCTTTAAGTAATACAACTTCATTAACATGCAATAAATGTTCGTGCCAGAACACAGTTTTTTGAGTGGAATAAAATATACTTTCTTACTTTATGTAAACAGAACAATCAAGTTCATAAGTCTTGCTATTTCACAAGTTTAAATTGTTTTTGGAGAACTGGAGTATTGCTTACAATAACAAAGATATATCTTGACAAATTTGACAACTAATATTTCTGGAATTATTAATTGTAGTATTTTATCATATGACAGATTAACCCAAAAAATGTCTTTCTTTACTCGTATACCAGTGGAAATGGTTGTCCTTTTCAGTTTATCTGTTTAAAACAATCATTAACAATGAGACATGATTACAAATTATGTAGAGAAAATTTATAAATATATAACTATGATTTCTGCTTTTCACTAAAAACAATCACTTTACCAATGATGTAGGTTAAAAAAAATTGACATGAATACCAATGATCAGAAATACATGTAATCTTGTATATAAAAAATAATTAAAGTTTGGGGTGTGAAAGAGGTAAAACACAAGTATCAAATGCAAATAAGGATCAACGATATGACAATAAGACAACTTATTTCAGAAGATATGATTTTTAATTATTAATTAGGATATTATGTGATAAATCATGTAAATCCTATGAACCAAGATTTGGGTTGTACCCAAGGGTCAAACGTTACAAATGCATTTTGATCTCAATATCAGAGTTGCCGTTTGTTTCTCTCTTATCTAATGTGAGGGTACCCCAAACACTCAAACCGCTTGTAGAAAGTGTAAATCTATTTTCATGTGTTTCCTGAAATTATACATAATATCAAATAAACAATTCAAAACTAGACTGTTTATATTCCTACATATAAAAATACTATGCATTTGTTTATTCATCGATCCTTG